TCCAGCCCATACAACTCCCCAAATCCAGACCTTCAGATATACAAATCTTTCCAGGCAAAAATGATTGTATCTTATAAATAATGATAATTTACAATGCAAACATTGAAATATTGTTTGGAACCTTGCATCCTTGTTTTCACGGTTGAACGAGTTTGTTTTTTTTTGAGAGATGTGTGTGTAAGCTAAGATAATGATGATGAATAAGTAAGAGCCATATCGTTTAATAATTACGGACAATAAACTCGTGAAATCTGACCGTAAGAACGGGTTATTTAAATCAACATCTACCTTAATGGATTTTTTTTTATCAAATAATAGTTTACAAGGTGTTATACACCAATAATTTAATTTTGGATGTAACGCGTCTTTCGATTGGCTGACGTTGTTTTGTTTATCAGCTCATAGACATAATTTTGTCATGTGACCTTGACGTCATCAACGTTTTTTCATGATTTACTCCGGTTTAAAATGGAATTAAGAATTAAATTATAAGAAATGACTGTAAAATTACAGTCATTCCTTAACTAATATCCAAAATAAAGAAAACAAGGGTCCTTCTCTAAAGCAAGTTGCAAATTCTTTTCTTAAAGTCAGCATCAGACGACATTCTGATTTTGCCTTTTCTTATGAAAAAAACATGTTTGAATCTTAATTTTATTCCTTTTTGAGAAACAATGAGTCAAATTTGACATTTAATTGCGTAATCATACTTTTTAACTGCAAATGCAGAAACTGAAAGGAAAAAATGAAACGTGCTACTTAATTTTACATAGTTTTTAATTTCCTAAAATTCCGAGAATGTCAAATATACAGATGGGATGTATATTTAAATGTGGAATCAATAGTCAAATAACAAAGCAGTTGGTATTTCTTTATCAAAGAATGGAAAGCTTTTTGTAGTTTCATTTATGTGTAAAGGCGTTGACGTAAGCACTTTCTGTTTGTGAAGCGATGTGACGTTGCTCACTAAATATTTATACACGGACTACATTTTAACAGTCAAATAAAACTATAAAGATCATTCAATAATTATAATTATTATATATAATTATTAGATGATCATGAATTATATGAATTTCCCATTGTGATTAATTCCGATAATCTCACACGTGACTCGAAATAACTCAAATTTACTCCCAAGACTTTGACAATTATTTGTACCATACAAATATATTCATACACCAAAGAGTACAGCGAAATCGACAATACATAAAGTTAATCAATTTGATGTCTGGAACACAGAAAATAATTTTGATAATCTGTTTCTAAATAATAAAAAGTATTACAAATCGCCGTATTTGAATATAGAAAAATAAGACCACTTGTGACCGAACGCCATTTTACACTTTTATACATTCTGTAATAATTCACTCTCTATGTGTCTCGATTTGCCGAGCCATCAGATATTTAAATCCAGCTGACCTGACGACCTGAAATTTCTCTTCGGTTTACTAGAACTAATCTCCAATAATCCAGATCAAACGCTATAATATATAATTTACACGAATTAATAAGATTAGAGATTTGCATGATTGAACGAATTCTTAAAGGAATTCAAAGAAGCAAGTGCATATTAAGTGACAAAGATAGTTCATTGATACCAAACAAACCTTGCACCGTTCGGTGACCTATAGTTGATTCTGCGTCATTTGGTCTCTGGAGGTCAGTTGTCTAATTGGCACTCATACCACTTATTTTTATTTTAATCTTGTTTGAATTTTCAGTTGTGAATTATGGGGTTCTAATTATGTCGCATTTTCGATTGCATTTGAACACGTCAGGAAGGAGACAAGCAATTAAATGACAGTATGGGTATTCCAAACCCGATCGCTGAATATGTTGATATTGGGGATCACTTATTGTTGAATAATCACTTTCCCTTTGCATAATCTACATTACAAAATTATTTACATATTACCTATGCATGATGCGTAAACATAATTTTTATATCATATCCTCAGTCATTACATATTAACCATGAAATCACAAAACACAAAAAAAAAAAAACTGACGTAAATTTTATGATACTGCAAAGCACTCCGTTTCTTTCAGGAAAGGTTCAAGTTGTGTGTTTTCAATTTGAATTATGTTGTTGTTTTCGATTCGTAGAGGATATTCATATAAGTGTCAATGTTTGCAGTCAAAATAGGTGTATTTATAATCAATTTTCATTTTATCTGTCTTTTTAAAGACAAACCATTTTAATCCTTCCACTATTTAATTCTTATGTTTTTTATAAATCACTTTATTTGTACATACAAGCAATGCAATACACTCTTGACTAAAACCAATATCGAAATTGTTTCAACATTGCTGAATCTAATTCAACAGAAATGTTATTTAAACGTTATTTTAATGTTTCTCAAGTTTATAAACAAAAGACCACGATTGATTAATAACACGAATAAAAGAGGTTTTGTAAAGGCTTTATTGATTGGTTAAGAAATGGCAAACCTCAGTTTATTTACAGTCCTTTATAGACTAAACAAACATGGCCAGATTTGTAACAAATATTTATATCCAATAAAAAGGGCAGTAATGTTTACATTTCTCTTGAAGAAGGAACCGGAGATCTAATGTCAAATTCTAATTAGAAAACTGATAACTACTTTCATGTTAGTTAAACACTTTAAAAAATCAAATATAGTTTCATAATATTTTATCAATAATTTATCCAGTAATTAGAAAGTGTTAGTAGGATGTAATTATATTATTTGAATTATATTTCAAACAAATATTTATGGTCCAGTTTCTGACCGAGAAAAATGTTGACTTATGTTCCTACATATACTTGTATTATTTCTGTGCGTATATTGACCACCAAATGTATGTTTGGCGTTAGGTCGAAGCGGTTAGCATGGTTTTGTTGCTATGTCATTGAAATATAACTCAAATCTAATTTAAACATAGTGTCAACTTGTTAAATCTCTTGAAAGTATCTGTTTCTGAGGAAAATATTTGTAGAGACTTCCCGTAGAAAGTATTTTATTTGGGTTTTAACCGCGTTTTCCGACGGAAATCCGGTTATTGATTTAGGAAAGTACTACGGGTACGGCACCAGTTGTATCCGTGCAATAATGTATGATCCTTGATTGTTTGGAAAATAGCATGTTCAGTAATTTCCGTGTCATAAGTTGAGAACTGTTCTACCATCCTTTTCAAATTTTAATATGTTGTTACTGATAACAAATGGAGATCAAGTTCGATATTGACGATTTTCACTTTTGCCGTTCATGAGTTATGACCCTTCATTGGTTTAACAATGATACTAATAATTGTAATACAGATCCGGTTTACTGTCTTTTTGACAACTATTTGTTATGCTATTTTGTAGTTAAAAGCTTTTTTTTTGCTCTAAATATTTAAATAAAACCAATATAAAAATAGTGAGATGTGGTATGATTGCCAATGAAAAAACTATCCACCAAAGTTCAAATGAAGTCGATGTAAGCAACTATAGGAAACCGGACGGCCTTCAACAATGAAAAAAACCAACACCGTATAGTCGGTTATAAAAAGCCCCGACATGAAAAGTGTGAAATAATTCAATTGAGATAACTAACGGCCTAATTTATAACAAGATTATATACGAAAAACAAATATGACAGATATTAACAACGACCACTGAACTACAGGCCTCTGACTTGGGAAAGGCACATAAAAAATGTGGCGAGGGTAAGGTCAATAAGGAAATGGAAAAGGTATAAATACATGTGTGATGTATTTGTTCCTGAACCACAATCTCTATATGTTAAATGTAGTTGGTGACAAAACCCAACGCATGTGGACAGCGCTTTTATTGCTGTTCTTCGTCTGATGGGTAAAAAAGTGCATGTAAAGTAATATATCTGGGACATGTTATTTACTTACGGTGCTGACCTGGTTATTGGACTGTTTTTCAGATTTGTATGAAATGCTGCATGCTATTTGAACTCATTGAACTGCATGTGTTCAACACATTTATGATTGATTGTATTCATGAATTAAAAATGCCACCCATATCATTTCTACGATATTCCGATGTAATTCAACCAGTTCTAACTGTATTAAAACTTCATAAACATCTTAAAAGACGCCCACTTTCGTATTGCTTGCCTTAAACAGTTAATTTTGCCAGCACATATTACAAGTCATAAATGTATGCAATGTAATCAAAAAATTGAAAAGGAGAAAAGCTTTTAAGTTTTTTAATATCTTTCGTTCAAAATTATCAAAGTTACATGTAAATACCATTTTCATATATATTTTCATAATGTATTAAACAATGTAAGAGATAGTTGTTGGCATTTTGTATTTAATCACTGCCTTTGCATTACTTGTTATCATAGTAATAGTCACAAATTATTTACTTGACATTTATAAAAGGCAGACTAAGCATAAACGTTGGCATTTCCTGTTAGAGGGAGTAAATTGTAAAGGTCTTTTTACGCACTTGAATATACAATAAGTAAAGTACCAGTTTATAATATGGGAGACAACCAACATTTTGTTCCCTAGAAAACCAGTCTTCTGTTTACGCACTTGAATATCAAATGTGTAAAGTGCCAGTTTATAAAAAAGGAGACAACCAACATTTTGTTTCCTAGAAAACCGGTCTGACATTTTCTTTAATGAGCAATGCTTATTAACGATAAGCCCATGTACGACTGTGTGAATAATTTAGCCATAACTAGCACACCGGTAGAAGTCACCATATTTCTGTCTATATGTCTTCTGTTTAAGTTATTTGTCAACTTATAAATGGTAAAGAAAGTATATGGTGTATTAATTCCTATCACAAAATCCTTACACATTCTTGATGAAGCCTAAAGCGTTGGAAATTTTAAACGCGCTGTCAATGTTTTGTATAGAATCAGAGATACTATCTTTATATTGTTGCTTCGTTTTAAGCTGCGTTTATTTTAAGTTTTTATTGTTTCATGTTGACGTTATATATGATACCGTGACCCAAGTACTCTTACCTTTTTAGAAAGGTTAAACTTGTTTTCTCTTATTTACAGTATCAAAGTCCTTACATAGACGCTCCATACCAGACTCAGTGTATATAAATCTGGTTTCCGCCCTGTGTATAGAAGATGACGGCTCAGTTCGGGATGCATGTTTACAAAGTAAGTACACTTGACTATCGTTATCTCAAAATTCCTGTTATCTCGAAGTAAAATGGCTGTCCCGCTTGATAGGGATGTATTAAATTTAATGTTCTTATCTCAAAAGTCTAGTCTCAAATTATCATAGCTTGCCCATCATCCTTGAGATAACGAGAATTGACTACTCTCAACCACGAGACTATAACGCAACCAACCGGAGACGTGTTTATAGCGGAGTAAACCCTAAAACGACCACCTCGCAAGTTTTAGTCACAATCAAGAAACAGTTGCTTGATGTCTGAGTCTAAGTTCACGGGAATATGCTTTGCTGTCTGCGTTCCTAAGACACCAGAATGGCCGTCGATCACGTGTTTCCTATTTCACATTGTGACATCATTGATTCATTATCTTGCATATTCGTGTCAAGAGAACTTCACTCTTTAAGTGCCAGTCTTTGTAAGAATCAGGCAATTTTGAAAAAATTCAAAACATGGCCGAAAAAAACCCACCAACCTAACCATCCTATTTTGAAGTTACCCTCATCCTGAGTTAGAAATGGTAGATCTTTTGTTTCTGTGTGTCTGGTAATTCGAGAAATCTCTAGATAAATTTTGGTTAGAATGATAGCAAATAATGGAGTTAGCTCCCCTTAATTGTTAGTTTTTAATGCATTTCAACCAAATTATATCTTGAATTACCAGAACAGGAAAAGGAAACGAAAGTTATATTCGTGCACCATTATACATTTTGAACATAAATTAATGTAAACTTGAGTGTGTTTTTGTTGGTCATGTTTTCACCACTGCCTGATTCTAAGCCAGATTGGCACTTAATATCAAGTAACTGATTTACTTTTCTTGAAATTTCCCAAATGATGACAATATCAGATTTATATCCTTTCACATTGCACACTGTTTAAAAATTTTCGTATATACATCTATAAACCTGAGGCTTTTTGTTATTTATTTTTTTGTGCTTTTTAATCGAGCCGATGAGTCGAGCCCTATTTTACTGATCTGAACGCTGTTCATTTATGTTGTGCTGTTACACCATTGTCCCCAATTAAAGGAGGATTGGACGCCCGGAAACATGTTAAACTACACTATTGTCTCGAGGGAGGATTGGACGCAGGAAAAAATGTTAAACTACATCACATTCTGCAACTGCCTGTCCCAAGTCAGTAGTCTGTAATTCAGTGGTTGTCGTTAGTTGCTGTATATCATATTTGTTATTCGTTTATTATTTTCTGCATAAACTATCCCGTTGTTTTTCTCATTTGATTGTGTGAAATTTGTCATGTCGGCTACAACATGCTTTGTGGTATTTAGTTCATTGTTGAAAGTCATGTGCTAAGATCTACGTTACTTGGTCTCTGGTGGATAGTTGTCTTACTGGCAATCAACCATGTACATGCATCACATTTTGTTTTTTTTATTATATACCACAAGTTACGTTTTGGTCATGTAAATGTGCATTTGTTGGTCTCAAGTCAAGACAGCGTCGGTACATATATAAATTGTTTTGCAGATGTCTTATGTCATCATGTTTTTGTTACATTTGTATTTAAGACGTGTGGCAATAAGAAAACGGGGTTTATCAATGCTTTAATTGAGCCTGGAATTCAGTGGTTGTCGTTTGTTTATGTGTTACATATTTGTATTTCGTTCATTTTTTGAACATATATTAGGCCGTTAGTTATCTCGTTTGAATTGTTTTACATTGTCATTTTGGGGCCTTTTTTAACTGACTGTGCGGTATGGGCTTTGCTCATTGTTGAAGGCCGTACGGTGACCTGTAGTTGTTAATTTCTGTGTCATTTGGTCTCATGTGGAGAGTTGTCTCATTGGCAATCATAACACATCTTCTTTTTTATATTTAACTAGCCTTTTCACTTACAAATTTAACATATACAATATAAGAGCCTTTCGGGCTTCATTCAGTTGTGAGTTGGCCGATCAATATAAATAAGAAGAAGTGGTATGAGTGCCAATGAGACAACTCTCAATCCAAGTCACAATTTGTAAAAGTAAACCATTATAGGTCAAAGTACGGCCTTCAACACGGAGCCTTGGCTCACACTGAACAGCAAGCTATAAAGGGACACAAAAATGACTAGTGAAAAACCATTCAAACAGGAAGACCAACGGTCTAATCTATATAAAAACGAGAAACGAGAAACACTTATGAACCACATCAACAAACGACAACCACTGAACAGGCTTCTGACTTAGGACAGGTGTATAAAAATGCAGCGAGTTTAAACATTTTAACAGACGCCAACCTTCACCCTTACCTGAGACAGAAGTGTAACATTACAACACAAAAAGACACACTATAAAATATCAATTGAAATGGCTTAACTCGATTAAAAAACATTTAAACAAAATCAAGTAAAGATACACTGAACGGATAAGTGTACATACACATGAAAAACTCCTCAAAAATAGCGTTTTAGCAATATCAAATATCCAAGGATATTTTGATCAATTATACCAATTACGAGAAAAAAACAAGCAAGGCGAATGAAGAATGAATTTTCGAGGACTATTTGACCTTTTTCTGAAGTCTTAAATGTGTTTACATGTACCAGTGTTTAAAACTATTTTACATCATAGATTTCTTGCATGTACGAACAATGGTATGACAAAGAAATATACAAGATCAGAAAGAAATTGATTTTGTAATTAAATCATTAATTGATAATTAATTGGTTTTGCATAGAAATTAGTTCCAACTTTGATTTGACACGAAGTGCAAATAGTATAACTTTGCTAATTATACAGTAACGTAAATTTCTTTTTTTATTTGTTTCTTTGGCTGCTGCTTTTTTCCTTTTTTTGTAATTTAATGTCATTTCAGATGATGTCCTAATTATACTGTACTTTTTAAAAATGGAATAGTTTCTTTCAAAAGTTACATTAAATTATGCAGTTAAAATGCAAGAAAAGTCATATATATATTGAACAAAATAAATTGTATTCATACGTCTGTTCACAGAACAGGATTAGACAAGTTGATGTCTTTTGCAATCTTTATGCTGTTTGTTTTGGGAGAATTAGCTCATAAGCTCAGTAGTCAGTACCGAAGTACTGACTACTGAGCTTACTTCGGTACTGACATGATTTATAACAGACTATTTAAAATTATCCGTTTATAAACTTTGAAATTACACAGAAACTAAGATTTCAACTCCCTCAGGCATAGTTGGCCTTAGATGGATTTGGCTGCTTGTTTTATGTACTTTTTGGTTTTAAGCTCTTCAACGGTTTTGGTCTTATACATCCTTGGCTTTCGTATATTCGGCTTTGATCGTTCCCGATGAAGGTAAATCCAGAAAAGCGCTTCGAACGCATGGCATTTATAACGTGTTGTTTTCAGTTTTTTAGGTGTTTATGACAGATCTTTGATTGTTATACATTTATTCACATTTTTATAGACACTAGGCTATTTAGAGCTTGTTATTCACATTTTTATAGACTCTGGGCTATTTGGAGCTTGTTATATTGCAACGGAATCAGTCCCTTGTTGAAATTTGTTTATGCTCTTTTGATATTTTTTGTTGATTTATGTCCTTGTGTTGGTGTCTAATTGACGTTACCAGACAGTTTCAATTAACAAAGGATTTTTTATCCCATGCTCTATGCTCATTTTAACATGGGTAGGCATTATATTTGTCAATAATTTAATTTTGGATGTAACACGTCTTCTGATTGGCTGAAAGTGTTTTGTGTATCAACTCATAGACATAATTTTGTCATGTGACTGTGACGTCACCAACGTTTTTTTTTCAAAATTTACTCCTTAAAAATGGAATTTAAAATTAAATTATAAAAATGACTGTAATATTTTTTCTGTCTATTCCAAATAACCTAAAAAATGTGGTGCACACTTTTAGATAACACGCTACGCGAGTTATTCAGTGTGCACCACATTTTTTATGTTATTTCTTCATAGACAGAAAAAATATTACAGTCATTCCTTAAATATCTTTATATCGAGCGTTATAATGAGCATATAACAATGTCCATTTTGATCTCCAGCGTAGTATAAAATACATCTGACGTTGCAATTTCAATTGTGACGTCAATCACGTGCACCCCATGTTCTATTGGAATTAGAACATGGCTTTGTTTTCAAAGAGAAATTAGTACGTCATATTAGAATTGAAATTTATGAATACTAGTATATGTTTACAAAAACAAATCTAAAATTTAGCGTACCACGTTGATTTCATTAAAGAAAATAAGAAAGACTATGATATACACTTAGTTTATTGCTGAAAACTATATATTGACATTAAAGATTCTATATTGACCTCTAGATGTCCTTTCTTGTTGTTTTGTGATTTTGGATTGATATCTCAGACTCCTTTACTTGAAATATGTTACCAACCTTTTTGCAATATATGTGACAAAAATATATCAATAGCTGTATTATTCAAAACAGTCTGTTTGTCTTTTTCTTTTTAGCCATGGCGTTGTCAGTTTATTTTCGACTTATGAGTTTGAATGTCCCTTTGGTATCTTTCGCCTCTCTTTTACTTCCGGGTTGTTAAAAATATTGATAGTCTTTCGAAGTCAACTGCGATACAGAGCCTGAAATTTTGTATTGGACTTTTGTCTATTGTAAGTTTAAGACCATTCAAAATTGAAGAATATACCAAGTGGGAACCATATATATAATTCGAAGAAAGACATACAACTTCTGTGTCATTTTGGTGTCTGGTAGACAATTGTCTCTTTGGCAATCTACTAAGCACATCTTCTTATCAATATGTGTACAACACCATGGTCAATCGTAATGAGACTAACTGACAAAAAAGTTTACAAATCTCTACACAGAACACTAAAAATAATCATCGGATGACCATTGTTGGTCCATAAAATATCTTTATTTAGTAATAAAATCAATTCGCTAAATGGACATACTAAATTTAAAATACAATCTGTCGATACCTATATTTTGGCATTGAAGAAGGTGATGTTTTTCTCTGACTGTTAATGACGTCTTCACACTAAATCCATTGGATGTTGGATGTGTACTGATTGATATATTAGTCTTAGATACATGATTTTTTTTATTAGTTGTTATTGGCTTTGAACTAGTTGTCAATAACTGCGAGTACTCTCGGATTTTTACCTAGTGTCTTTTTTTGTTGAGGAGATGTATAAATACCCTGCCACGTCCGGTCTGTGTTTTTTCTGCTTTGTATCGATCTGATGAGTTAAGCCATTTTCAACTGATTTTTACAGTTTGTTCTTATGTTTTGCTGTAACACCACTGTCCCAAGTTAGGGGGGGGAGGTTGAGCGCTCACAAACATGTTAAACCCCGCCATATCCTTTATGTGCCTGTCCCAAGTCAGGAGCATGTAGTTCAGTGGTTATCACTGGTTCATGTTTGTCATATTTGCTTTTCGTAAATTAGTCTGAATTGAATCCAGGTTGCGTTCGCACGTGGTTAGAAAGATTTAATTGTTATTCTACATTTCGAATGCGAGTGAAATGAATATAAATGCATGCGCACTTGATAAGAATTTGCATTTGCATTCAAACGTATATTTTTTTCTAGATTCAAATCCGACGTAAGTTGAAATCGGATGTCAAACTACCTACCTCTAATGTTTGACTCCGGATTCACAAATACACGTTTAATCCGGAAGATGTGTGAACGCAAACTGGTATTGACAAATTGAAATTTTTTGTCGTATGAACAAGGTATTATTGAGTTCGATGTTACATACTAGTAATGTAGTACAATTGATAAACCATTTCAGACAACATAAATTCATCAAATTTTACCAATAGAACGAAATACTAAGCGTGCGTTCTACATGATTTGATCTTTAGTCTGGAAATAAACTTTCGATGGTATATTTATACTTTCTGTACGTTGGATACGACAGACATTTTCGTTTGCAACAGGCGTCACATTCGTTTTTATAGAGCACTCAACGCTTTCTTTAGATAATTTCTTTATGAAATAAAATGTTCTTTAATTAGTTATTTAAAGTTTCATATGACTAAAAACTCCAAGATTTCTTCCAATACAATGGCGAACGGCTGGAGTGTTAATTGTTTTTGGCGGAAGTGTAGGTGTTCAGTCAAAATTTACTATGAATATTAAAAAAGTTATTATATCAATATTGAAAACACGACGTTACAGAAAATGATTTACCCGATTATCTGCCGGAACGGTGATGACGTTAATTTCATAACCGCACAGTATTTCTAATTTTTTACAAAAATTGATCGCGCCTTTGTTCCGGATAACTGGTGTCATTCCTGCAAATTTGTGTTTTATTTTGTCCTAATAAATCTATTGCAAAGCCGGAAACGTTTTCAATATCCAAAATAAAACAAGAAAAAAGATATTGCTTATTTGAACAACATCGATTTTCAGTTTTGAAAGGACAAAGTCGAAACGTCCATACAAAATATTGCTCTTATTTAAGTGTCAATTAAAATCGCTACAGTTATTCAATTTTACCTTATAGTTGAAGGGCTCAATTTGTTTAATTTTCAGCTTCCGTTAAATAACAAAATTATTCCAATAATCGATTTTTAATTCACTTATAATTAATCTAAAATCAAAAATCGCTTAAGGGCTTATGTTGAAACTATTTGATTAGAGAGAGAAAAAACACAATGATTTCCCAAACGTTAATAACAGTAAGATCATCATGAAATTTAAAGTGAAAAATAAAAATGAAATATGAAATTAAATTTCAATTTTGCTGCAAAAAAAAATTATAATGAATTTTCTAAATCTAAATTTGACATATTTTGATTGAGGGTTTTCTCTGAACAAGTCTCAGTTACATATGAGATTAATAAGTCTATGTTACACACGAGATTAACAAGTCTATGTTACATATGAGATTACTAAGTCTATGTAACATATGAGATTAACCAGACTATGTTACATATGAGATTAACAAGTCTATGTTACATATGAGATTAACAAGTCTATGTTATATATGAGATTAACAAGTCTATGTTACATGTGAGATTAACAAGTCTATGTTACATATCAGATTAACCAGACTATGTTACATATCAGATTAACATGTCTATGTCACATATGAGATTAACAAGTCTATGTTACATATGAGATTAACAAGTCTACGTTACATATGAGATTAACAAGTCTATGTTACATATGAGATTAACAAGTCTATGTTACATATGAGATTAACAAGTCTATGTTACACATGAGATTAACAAGTCTATGTTACATATGAGATTAACAAGACTATGTTACATATGAGATCTGTTTGATTTTTTTCCAAATAGTCGCAGTATTCTACAAACATTTTGTAATTTCCGTTATCATTTTTATGTAATTTTGAAAAAATCTTGTGATTTATATTTTCAGATTTATCATCGAGTTTATTAGACGCAATTTATAGTAATGTGAATGAAGACAAGTAAGTCATAATTCGTCGTATCAGATTCGAATGCATTATGGGTAATATTTCAAAAGCGTACACTTGACACGTTGTGATTGGTTAAAAACGTCTTAAACATTGGAAATTCAACCAATGAATTGACGTTATTTTCATTTTAGGATACAAACAATGACAGTATCCATAGTCCTTTAAATTCTGAAACGTCGAATTAAAGTCATATGATACTTCAAATTTAAAAAGAAGTTGAGTATGTTTTAAATACTCAAATGGCTAAGTTGTACTATAAAAAAAACGTACATGGACTTTCCTGTAAAAGAAAATCCTTCATCTTATCAAAATCTTCAGAAATGTACTGCTCCTGCATTATTGTCTTCCCGTACTCTAATTCACAGATATTATCTATTAGTATGCAGCGACCTTAACTACGAGAACTCTTGTTAGAACTTCGGTCGCCACACAGCGCAAGTGCGAGTCAAATCCCGTAATCAAAGAATGTAAACAAACGTGCACTGAAAGGTAAATAGTAGTTATTCATAATCAAAGAACAAATTAAATATTTCAAATTATTTTATAACTGTCATGAAAAATTTTGATTAACAAATGGGAACGAATGGAAAATATAAAAAAAAAAGTTTATATCGCTCTACCAATCCACTTATTTTTCACGTGCTCAGCTATTCTGCATTTATTGCTAATTAAGGATATACACCTCTGAGGAGCCTGAATTTCTAGAATTAAATCTTTTTTCTTTACCTGATTTATGGGTTTATATGACTGTAAGAAAGTAATTGATGAAGAAAAAATCATATGGTGGTGCACTTCTATTTTTGCTACGGCCTTTTGAAAGTACCCCCATTTTTAATGATTTTCCCATTTTTAATCAATTTTTACCCATTTTTGGGCTATTATCATGAAAAAAATCACAATTTCACAATTAAACTTTTTTCATACTTTCCCCTCAAGATGAAGTGGACCAAACTAAATAAATTTAGTTTAAAAAAAACTATAGGTTGGTGTTAATATTAGAAAGTTTTATAAATTTTGTTGTTTTTTCGTGTCAAATTGACCATACTAATTTCCTGAGCATTAAAATTGCAAGAAACTCGTTTCATATGACTTTAAACATTGATTATAAAAATAAGGAGATGCGGTATGATTGCCAATGAGACAACTTTCCACCAAAGTTCAAATGAAATGGATGTAAGCAATTATTGACAACCGCACGGCCTTCAAAATGAGAAAAACTCATACCGTATAGTTGGCTATAAAAGGACCCGACATGAACATTAGGAAACAATTCAAACCAGAAATCTAACGGCCAAATTTATAACAAAGCAATATACGCCAAAAAAAAAAAAAAAATATGACAGACATGAACCAACGACAACCACTGAACTATAGGCTCCTGACTTGGGACAGGCATATATAGAACGCAGCGGGGCTAGACATGCTTGAAAGCATTAACCCTTCCCCTAACATGCGACAATGGTGTAACAGTACAACATAAGAACAAACTATAAAAATCAGTTAAACATCATTTGTGTTAATTAGTCGGATGGTAGATGCAATTGGCCCTTCATATTATGTATGTTATAATCCGCAACAAATACAACAATCTGCACCAAATACAACAATCCGCACCAAATACAACAATCCGCACCAAATACAACAATCCGCACCAAATACAACAATCTGCACCAAATACAATCATCAAAAAATGTACAAGACTGGGTTGAAGTTTATTAACCTGTCATCGCTTTGAATGTACATTTATATCTAATATTTGCCATTGGACGTAAGCCATCTTTTGTAGAAATTAACTTTATTTGAAGGATTGTTTTGTCTTTGTTTCTTTATTTTTTCATTGCCCCATTGTTAGGGACGGTTGATAATTAGTGCTCATACTATAACATGCTCACTTACCGCCAAGTACAAATGTGTTGCATCTGTCATTTCATATTAAATAAATATATTCGAAGAAAATAAAACGGTTGGCAAAAAACGATTCCGTGTCGATTTCTTTTGTGAAAATTGATCTTCATTTCAAAGACACATACAATTTATCACAAATTGGTGCTTCAAGACTTAGTATTCTTGAACTTGCAGTAAGATGTTATATTTAAATTTACTCCACATCGAAGGCCTCATCTTAACTCTGGAATGAAGAACACTAATAAAAACGCTTTTCGCAAGGTTTTTTTTCCCCGAAGCCATGGAAAGATTTTGTGTAATGAATTAGAACATTATATTCCCAGATTACATTGTATATTTCGAATTTTATATGTACTTACTTATACGTGTATAGTCATATTTGGGACAAACGCGCATTCCATATACTCCATAGTCAGCCTGGAATCTTTTAAGGGTTTTTAAATAAAAAAAAAAAAAACATTTTAATTTGCACTATTTTGTAATTGTCTGCATTTATAAGACCACATATGTCTAAAAAAGAGACAATAATAATCATTGTCGTTAGCGACTATTATTGCATGAAAGCCCCTCACGTTTTTTTTTCAATTTAAAACAACACTAAAATAAGTAATAAAGACCGAACCCGTAAATGCTTTAATAACGATTTTTTTATCAGCTTCCTTTAAGATTAAATGATATATAAATTACATGACTTTTTCACAAGGGAAATTGTCTCGGTGTCTTTGATTAATCGCTCGCTAATAAATCTGATAACTTTATCAATGGATCAGTAAACATGGTTGATAAACATGCAATAAAAAAGTAAGTAAATTGTTAGTTAATTTTACGTGCTGTTGACTAGGGATTTCACAATGACTGGAAATTTATTAACCAGGGTACAATTAGGACGTATCTACATGAGTTCATAAAATCGAATGATTTGTTCTTGTTTTACACGCTACTTGTACGTACAAACGGGCAAATTAGAAAATAAGGAGATGTGCCAAATGCGAAAACTATCCACTAAAGTCTAAATGACGTAGATGTAAGCAGCTATATTTCCCACCTTATGGCCTTAAACAATGAGCAAAACTCATACCTTATAGTGAGCTATAAATGACCCCTACATGACAAAAAAATGAGATACAAAACTAACGGCCTAATTTATAACAAAACAAGGAATAAATAAGAAATATGATAGACAGCAACCAACATCAACAACTGTATTCCAGTCTCCTGACTTGGGACTGACACATACAGCAACCAACATCAACAACTGTATTCCAGACTCCTGACTTGGGACTGACACATACAGCAACCAACATCAACAACTGTATTCCAGTCTCCTGACTTGGGACTGACACATACAGCAACCAACATCAACAACTGTATTCCAGTCTCCTGACTTGGGACTGACACATACAGCAACCAACATCAACAACTGTATTCCAGTCTCCTGACTTGGGACTGACATATACAGCAACCAACATCAACAACTGTATTCCAGTCTCCTGACTTGGGACTGACACATACAGCAACCAACATCAACAACTGTATTCCAGTCTCCTGACTTGGGACAGACACATACAGCAACCAACACCAACAACTGTACTCCAGTCTCCTGACTTGGGACTGACACATACAGAATTTGTTGGGGTTAAACATGTTTATGATCGACAAGCCTCTCCATCAAAGCTCACTTGGGACTACATCACAACTTTTATAAAAGATATATCAGAATAAAAAAAATTCGTATGAATTCGTAATCACAGGATCACCAAAAACTCGCTGAACCTTACAACATATTCATACTATTTTTTTATTTTGGATAATTTTGTGATTGTGTCAGCTCTTATATTTTTGTTGATCTTATTTATGATGCATTTAAACTAAAGAGAATAGACACAGGTCTTTTTTAAGACTATTTATTTGTTCACCTCTAGAATTCTTTTGATTATTTGCGTCCTTTGGTTGTATAGTCTCATTTGCATACTTCACACAATTCATTGTCGCACTCAACACAGTTCATTGACGTACTCCACACAGTTCATTGTCGCACTCAACACAGTTCATTGACGTACTCCACACAGTTCATTGTCGCACTCAACACAGTTCGCTGACGTACTCCACACAGTTCATAAATGTTAATACATGTACTCCCACAGTTTTAATCATGTTCAGTGGTACAGTTGTAATGCTTGTAACTTTGGACACATTTGAAAAGTTGATTAAAAGTTTTGTTTTTGAACAGATTACTTCATATGACTGTACCATTTATCAATCTTTGTGTATGTCTCTACAATATTTAGCATAGCTTTGATGAAATTTGTTTTACCGTAACTATATATATGCCTGGGCATGTACCAAAGGAATTATTATAGACAAAATAATTAGATTATAATTGATGAACGCTGGTTATTTCCAAAACCAATGACCCAACAAGGAGGGAAAACGTCTTTCATACGAAACGCTAATATCTTTTTTTGTTTATACCAATATATCGATTGAAGGTTGTTAACTCCACTTTTGTATTTTAAAATATTTATAAAATTCTTGTAATCTCATCATTGTCAGAGCTTTTAAAACGATTTTACAAGCTACATAAAACCACATTGAAAAATCGCTGAATGAAAGATCACTCCAGTGAGGATATAAACTATAATGGACTTTTCGTCACATGCTTCTATTTCAATAACGGATTGACATATTATACATTTATTTCCCGTGCCGGAGGGAGATATAAAGATTTGTTCACCCAAGAATATTCATATTTCACGAGGGCTCTGCCCGAGCGAAATATGATTAAATATTATTTTGCATACATTTTTTTTCTTATCCGCTTGTTTTTGTAAGTCAAACTAAACAAGACATACCCATTGATAAACAGTAAGGATCAAAATTTAATTATAAGTCTTTTTGTTTTATCGTCTGAAATAAATTTGAACATGATAATGATTTTTGCTATCGCTATTTTAAGAAGAATAAGAAGTTCAAAACGTTATGTACAATAACCGCGCGTAACGTCGCACGAAGTAATCCCGACATCACAGAGGGGAATACGATCCTCAGAATGGAATATGAAGATTTGTTCAATGACACATGGGATAGTCTCAACCAATCAAATATTGATTAAACTATCAATATGTTTAAACAGTGGAATAATATGTTTTATCGAATAGTCACGTGATTTTAGTTTTGTAGCGATTGCCTGGGATCCTGACCAAATCTCTGCTTCGCGTCGGTAGGGTCATCCGTCGAAGAATTGACCTGTTATGTATGAATCAGTGAGAAAATTATGAATACATTGATCCCGCTATGAAATAAAAGTTGACAAAAAAGTTGAAATTCTCTAGGTTCTACCGTAGAGCAATGAGAAAGGATCAGAAGGCAGCGATAGCACGCAGAATACAGACCAGTCAAACAATTCGCTGTTTCATTCTTTTACACTGAAATGAAAATAAGTTTACGTCACTGGTTTTATATCTGCGGCTCTTTTCACAAAAAATCTTAAGAGTAAAAATACTCGTAAGTCACACACATTTCAGTATAACTTACGATCAATTTTGATCGTAAGATTTTTTGTGAAAAGAGTCGCAGATACTTAGGACTTTGTTAACTAATCCAAACGTCTTAGGAACCATACGCGTTTGAAAATATTAGCCATAATGCAAAAAAATTTAAAACGGCTAAATACGGTAGCTTGGTTTTTATTTTGGAAACGAGCTTCAAAAAGTGTTGCGTTTTTGAATGCAATTTTATTTTATACGATACAAACACAAAGTGTGGCGATGTTGAATGTAATCTTATTGCAAACGATAATTGTCAATGACCTATTCACACCTTGTAGAACGCACTTGGTGATATAAATTTAAAACATTTATACAAATCAATTTTTGCATGATAAAAAATATGAAAAATCAATTTTACAAGGAAGTATGGAAAAAATCATACAAAAACGCGAAGACTCGATTATTACTTAAATGCTGTGAACCACCTCAGGACCCTTAAAAAATCACTCAATCTTTCTTGTTAATTATCATGTTAAGTAACTTGGGTCGATTAAGTCGCCTTTTATTCTGATTTTCTATGAACAAGTAACTTTATAAACCTAGTGCTACCCTCAAAACAAAACAGGCAAACATTCAATTAAAATTAATGTCAACGCCTTGTTGATTCCAAATCAAAAATACCACCTCGCGTTCAATTCATTATCTTAAATAAACTCATTGGTGCATAAAGTTATAATCACGCGAGATTTTATATGATAGATATTTTCTACAAAACACTAAAAACCGTAAAATTGTCAAGTATTCTGTATGACATAATTGGACATGACTTTCAATCATTTTCCATTTTTTTTTTCATCAGTTAAAAAAAGAGGGAGTTGATAAACAAGGGAGACAATTAAAAATCACATGAGGCAAAGAAAAACAGATACCTCGACAAAAGAAAAAATACAGAAAGCAAGAAAAATAAATGCAATAAATAAAATGTGCGGTGTACATTTTTACTTTTTATCGTTGTACATGTAGTCTAACATTAAAAGGGTGCAAAAAGTACAATATTTAGGTTGTCGTTTTTTAAACTTTCATTGGTTTTTGTAAACTGCTTGTAAGATACCGTAGCAAATTTAGAATAGTTAATGCTTTGTTTTCCTATTTTCCGTGACTGATATTGTATATGAATAAAAGCATAAGTAGTGGAGATTGCAACCCAAAGACACAAAAAAAGCTAAAGACACACAGATGTAATCAGGCATGTGTCAAATTATGTCTTCTGTTGCAAGAACAGTCACGGTGCATCACAATAAAAAAATGTATCATGTGTATTACCAGATCTGCTTGTAATGCAAATAGTACATGGATAAAAGTACTAATTCATGACCGCAAGTTTTGTTTGCTTTCTTACCATACAGCTGTTTTTGCAAACCTTTAGGAATTTTTGGGTCCTCAATGCTCTTCAACTTCGTTCTTTATTTGACCTTTTTCCCTTTTATGATTCGAGCGTCACTAATGAGTATTTGTAGACAAATCGCGCTCCTGGCGTACATATTTTTTGTTATTCGGATATCTATAATGAGTTTATTTTCTATGTTTATTCTGCAATTTCACTCATCAATAGCCAACTTGTCTATCGTTTAAAACAAGTGACAGTCATGTCATCTCAAAACAATACCCTAGACTGATTTGTGCAGAAAAAACATAGTACCTTTAATGACATATAATAGCGCATTGGTTCCTGGAAGTTCGGAAGTACAAAAACAGATACCTCTGACCTGAGAAGTATGCAAAATATACCTCACTGTTTTGATTTCATAAGATTTTTTAATATTAAAACAAAACTATCAACGAGGTCTAAACAGTAATAGCAGGTCCTTCAGCTTTCATTTCAATTACCAAAATACTTTACATATTTTGAAAGTTACAGCTATGCGGAAGAACTATTTTGTTTGAAATATGTACTACTTTCTTGCATGTTCTACCTGACAGGGCTCAAGTTAGTCGTTCTATACCATATACACGTGAAAACTAATAATTTGCTTCAATTAAATATTACTACAAACATACATGTATGCATATGCTATTATTTCAGTTTGTTTGACACGTGTTTCAGATATTGTGCAGAACTGATAACCTCTAACAGGTCCGTTCGAAAACAAAAGTTCGGATGGCAATAACAAATGCAAAAATGTACGGGTCTATACAAACCGAAAGGATATTATAAGACAGCCAATACAAGCTAAGAACACTTTTTTCTTGAGACTATTTATATTAAAAACGCTTCTAAATTATGCATAATACAGAGCATGTATTTTTGAAAGTACGTCACGTGATAAAAGATCTAAAGTACAAAAAATAAATGGTTTAAGGGAGAAGGTTTGGTACCATTAAAACGTTTAATCCCGCTGCAAATGTTTGCACCTGTCCCAAGTCAGGAATCTGATTACAGTAGTTGTCGTCTGTTTATGTAGTTCATACGTGTTTCTCGTTCCTCGTTTTTATATAGTTTAAACCGTTGGTTTTTCCGTTTGAATGGTTTTACACTAGTATTTTTTTTGGGGGCCCTTTATAGCTTGCTGTTCGGTGTGAGCCAATACTCCGTGTTGAAGGCCGTACCTTGACCTATAATGGTTTACTTTTATAAATTATAACTTGGATGGAGAGTTGTCTCATTGGCACTCATACCACATCTTTCTATATCTAAGTATATTGAAGTTTCTTTCAGATTCGAGATCTTTAATCAGGTGTGACACTTTCGATGGTATCTTTAATATAAGTGTAAATGGGACATACTTGCAATAAATTTGCACTGAGGGGGTATTTGAATTTGATAGATATATGGTACTTCCGGTCACAGACTTATACTTTTCAGCGAATAACAGAAATGTACAGACAAACATATCTTTGTCATGCGGTGACTTTATACTTCAATAGATAAAGTATTTGTTTATATGTAAATCAAATCTAATTTTGCAGGTTTGGAAAAATGAGTGATTCCCAAAACAGTGAACTGAGGTCATTTTTGCTGAAACAGACTGAACTTCCGGTAAAAAGAGGACGTGAGAGATCATCCGGATTTTACAGTAACTGGTAGAAGAGTTCCGAAAAGATAACTTGTATATTAATGACTGAATACGAAAACAAATACACAACAATGAATTGTATATATCTGAGATATTCAGATATAAGGACTGTTTGAACTGTGACTTTTTTATTCATTCCGTTTAAAGACAGGAATGATATCTGAGGTCCCAATTAATAGATTTAAACCGATTATTTCGTCCTATAAATCGGAGCCAAATTTTTGAAATGATATATGCTGTTTGTGTATTCTTTACGGACACATGTATATAATGAAGTTAAGTAACACCATTTTTAAGTTAGAGGAAATTTTCTAAATCATTAAAACTACTTGTACTATTTTGTCTTCTATTTTATCCCTTGTAACTACAACATGTAAGCCACTCGCAAATTAACCCACTATATCATTAAAACAAGGTGGAAGAACTTTCCAGATGGAAATTAAGCTATATATAGTCATTAGGATAAAAAAAAAAACATTCATTTTGATAAGCCACGTCCGAAAATGCAAATTTTTACAAAATTTGTAAAATTTGCTATTTCGTATCAAAATTCCTTTCAGAGAAACATGAAGCGAAGAATAAAATTTAGAGTTTGTGGAAATATGCAAAGTAGTCTAAAATGTTTAAAGTTTTTAATAATCAATTTTCAAGTAAGATTTAAAAAATTCTATATTTTGACGCTGCTATGAAAAAAAACCTGGGAAAATCAGCCTTACTTCTTTTTATGAAAGAAACATGCAGGTCATAATAAATGAAAAAGCCAGATTATTAACAGATTGTCTTTTGTTTTGTGAATCTCAAAAATAATAAATAATATGTTGATTTTAAACGTTAACTTATTGAAAAAGGTTTATACGTTAATGAGACAACTACTCGAAGACACAAAACAAAACACTTAAACTTCTACAGGTCAATACACGGCCCTCAAACCAACGTCTTCGACTGATAAATCTGTCTCAAATCTGATCGATATAGCGTAGCAAGGGGACAGTACTCGTCAGTCTGAAAACGACTTTTACAATCTGCCGAGCTCCAAATTACTTTCTAAAAGGAAATCTGCAAATAAGGTTAACAAACATTAAATCCGACAGGTAGGTTCTGCAAACAGATATATCGGCTTTAAAAAATAGGAGCGAAAGATACCAAAGGGACATTCAAACTCATAGGTAGAAAATAAACTTACAACGCCATGGCTAAAAAAGACAAATACAAACAGTACACAAAACAAATTAGAAAACCCAAGACGGAGCAACACGAACTCCACAAACACCTGGGAGTGATCTCAGGTGCTCCGGAAGGGTAAGCAGATCCTGCTCCACATGTGGCACTCGTCGTGTTGCTCATGTAAGTACAAACCCGGTGATATTTCTAATTCGGTAGGTCACATTCGGGGGAAGGGGACGAGATTGTAATTACGACAACTGGAACATATCAGTCGTCATCTGTGAAACAGATATTCCATAACGTGATGGCGTCCGTAAAATTTACGACGGGATGATTTCAACTTCACCACTAGTACTTGGAGCTCTTAGCTTAATAGCTGCCTTGTGAGCAGCAACCCTCTATCAAGGAAATCATGATAGGAAGCACAAGTACTGGAATATCGTATCAACTGGGAGATATCTACTCTGTATGCAGAGGCTGCTGGAATGTTGCTACATAGAAATGGAAAATTGGGAAGCTGAAATCATCTCTTTTGTCGTTAAGTTTTGTTTTCAACCTACCCTCATTGTCAATTTCTAGATGTAAGTCAAGATATGAGGAACACTTAACTGTATCCTTTATCTCAAGTTCGATGGGATAGATGCGTTCAACATAGTCACCAAATTTTGAACTATTTAGTGAGAGAACACCATCTATATAGCGGAAAGTGAAATTAAGGGATACTGCTAACTTCTTTTCTTTCTTCCTAAGAAGTTCCTGTATGAAGTCAGCCTCATATGAATAAAGGAACAGTCGGCAAGAAGAGGAGCACAGTTTGTTCCCATGGGAATGCCAATTATTTGTTGAAAAACATGTCTTCCAAACGTAACAAGTATGTTGTCAATCAAGAAATCAAGCATCTTGATAATGTCAGTTTCAGAGAGTTTTTTGTTTGAAGCAGAGAAATGTTTTACAAAAAAAGTAAAATAACAAAAATACCGATCTCCAAGAAAAATTCAAAACGGAAAGACCCTTATCAAATGGCAAAATCAAAAGCTCAAACACATCAAATGAATAGAAAACAACTGTCATATTCCTGACTTGGTACATGCATTTCCTTATGTAGAAAATGCTGGATTAAACCTGGTTTTATAGCTACATGTAGCTAATTTATTAAAACCTCTCACTTGTATGCCAGTCGCATAAAATTTCATTATATTGACAACAATGTGTAAACAAAACAAACAGACATACTAAGCAAAAATGTCAAAAATAGGGGTACAGCAGTCAACAGTGTGTTATAATCTTAATCACTACAAAAAAAAAAACAAATATGTCAACAAAGAAAAACAAAATGGCATATAGACAAAGCTCATAGGCAAACATGAAAGACAAGAATACAAAACATGACCATACCACAATACGACAATGGCGGGATGTATAAGTAGCGAGCCACGCTAAAAGGATATTACCAAAAATGGACTAAACAGTAAAGGTTAATAATTTACAAAGAACACTATAACACGTAATAAAGATGATAAACAACGTCAGTACCTGGAATCTATACTTCAAGACCATCATGTATTATTTGTGAAGTTGATACGGAATATTTATCAACAAGGTCTTGGTATCTTCCGATGAACTTTTTTAGAAAAAGAACGAGACGTTCTTTGACATAGCCCTGGTTCATCAACTTTCTGCTCAGACATTGGTGACGTTTAATAAAGTCTGAGTAACAGCTGCAGGCTCTTGAATACCGAATGAGTTAGGAAATGTATATCCCATATGCAGGTGAAGTTGGTATATTGCTACTAAGGTGGGGGAAATTGATAATTTCAAAATTAAAATCGTCTCGTTTGTCATAGATTCTAGTACTGAGAAGACTAATTATGTCAAATTCGAGGTATAAGTCTAAAAATGAGGCGGAGGAAGCCGTGTCTGTTGTTTCTTACACAGTACGATTTATCCCTCCCTAAGATAAGAAACTTGAACCTACGTAAGCCATTCTTTTTTATGAAACAAAGCATGACCAACTCTTTCAGTATGTCTTTTAGTTTGGGATGGGGAATACTTGTGTAAAGTGTAGAAAAGTCAAATGTTTTAATACTATTGCAAATGGTAAAATAGTTTGTGTTGAATTTATATAGGGACAGAAACATTGCCCTGCAACATTCCAATTTCAAAATCTTCAATGAGTTGTAATAGTTCTAAAATATGACACATTGTTACATACACTTTCCGTAGACTCGGTATCTTATTTGACAACCACATTATGTCATAAAGTAACTGCATATTTACACTTCCACCCTATTTACCAAAGAAACGCACTTGTTCTAGTTCTTAAAAGGATATGAAACAGCTGTTAACGGAAGTTAAGAACTAGGAACGCAAGAACAGCAAAGTACATTACGTGTAAAAAGGGGAGATGACATCAAAATAAAATGAAAATTCATGAGTCGAAGGAAACCAGACCGTTAACGCCATATTCAAAGGAACACAACGAATAGACAACCAAATGTCCAACAAACCATTCAAAAAACCCTAAGACTTGGGCAACATTAACCTCACCAAAAACAAAGCATGCATGTAAGTAGTGTAAGTGATCTGCTTATGGTAACCATCGTGATTTTCATTGCAAGAATCCGGTAAAACTTTACATAAACTAGAAAAGGAGGACGGATGGTATTGTGGTTTCGAAAAGTTAAACATAATCTTTGCTAATTGTTACACAAATATTCAACAATCTTCTACCTAACCCTTGTGGCGTCAGTAAAATGTCTAATTGTTGTAGTGTGTTATGACTTCAAATTACCCTTGTTTGAGGTCCTTAAAAGAAGCAATTAACTGTGAAAATAAAATCATGATAAGACATGCAAGCCCTTAAATATCGCACGAACCTTACTCGAATAATTCTGCGCCCTCTAGTGGCCTGAAGTTAAAGAATAAGTTAAAGGATAATGCTACATTGTAGCTTGTTTTCGTTTTTCTTGAAAAGCCCCTGTATGAAGTCTGTCTATTATGAACAAAGGAATAAGTGTCCACAGGAAAGTTTACAAGAACTTCTTGTTTAATCCAACATGTTTTTTTACGTAATGTGATGTGTCACTACCTTAAACAAAGATATTTGTATCTTATTTGGCCTTTATATGAACAAAGTTGGACACACTTTATCAATCTGACTTTAAATTTAGAATAAGCAATTATAGTGTAAAGGAAGAGTAGCCAAGAGAGACGAAAGATACCTAAGGGATGATCAAACTCATAAGTCGAAAACGAACAGACAATGCCAATGCATAAAACGAAAAACGACCAAAAGACATACAAAACACAATACAGAAAACTAAAGACTAAGCAACACGAACCCCAACACAACCCAAATGATAAGAACGATTATAGAAACAAATTGTATATTATTCCCTCCTTCTATTTCTTTCTTGGTAAAAAAATTACGGAGACAGTTGCCTCATTGCCTCAATGGTAGCTAGGCCATCGAGCTTTTTCTTTTTAAACCTAGGATTGTACACTTTTACCTACCGTGAATACCTTGTGGCTGATATAAGAAGATCACTTAAATTTTTAAATTAAGTAAAATTTGATTGCCAACTTTACTTCTGATATATTTTATAAATTTTCATTAAAATAATGTTGGAAAGAGGCTTTTATAGATAGATTTGTAGAAAACTCGTTAATGTGCAAAGTGATCCCCTCTCCATTTTAAAATCTGATACAAAAACATAAAATCAATAAGAAAAATCTGACAATTTCATCGCATGTTTGTTTTATTGTTTTTGACAAAACAACATATGTCCAATTTCGTAGATACAAAATCCAAATAGATGTTTTGTTATCGTGTAGTCTTAATTTTTTTATGTTATTATCTATTCAATATTTTGATAACGAACTTAGTAATTGAACCCTATAACTTGAGGACATTTGATTGAAAGGTAGTCCTATGTTGAAAAGAAGGAATTCATTAAACAAATATTACAGAACGATCTATGTTAAAACTGTTTCTGTCGGTCAAAATCTCACACTGTGTAAAGAGAGACAATCTAATTACATATGAAGCATCCACATTTACACGAATACAAAAAGGTCAGGGTAGTTGAATATTTACAGATTACAAAGCGATCCAACATATTTGGTTTTATTTTTGCTTCTAAGTGCTTAGTATGAATATTTTTGACGTCAAATTCTAGAATGTTCCACGAAACTTCAAAATGCATACAGAATGCATTTGTAAATAAACGCAAAAAGAAAAACATTACGTGGAAGGATTTTTCCGGACTGAATATTTATTTTCATCTATTGCTACGCGTGCTTATTTTTATTCTGTTGCTTCGACGCCAAGAAATTTATTTTCACTTTTACATTCATTTGTATCTAGGTCCTGATCTATTCTGCATTTTGCGATGCAGAATATTCATGTTCAGTCTGTCTTGTGCAAAGTTGTTTTCTTTCAGTTTTAACCAGACAAGTAATTTATTTTCGAATTCCTCCTCCCCCAGAAACTTAAATGATCGTCTCCTAAACATCGATGCATTTTGATAAGTGATTATCTCACTGGGTAGCAAATGATCGTCTCCTAAACATTGATGCATTTTGATAAGTGATCATCTCACTGAGTAGCTCGAGTGTCCGTCCTAAACCCGTCTTATAAAAAATATGAAAATCGTTGAATTAACTTTTCTTTTGAGTGTAGAAAATTCTTTGGATGTTTTAGATAAATTACATGCTTTTGCAGGTCCTTTTGATTCTGTTGACAGTTTTGACTTTTCAACTTTTTACACTACACTTCCACACAATCTTATCAAACAAAATTGTTCCTATTTAATTATATAATTGTTTGATAATCTGATTGCAAATATATTTGCTGCAACTAATTTTTTATAGCCTTCTTCTCAAATGAAAAAGGTAATTATGCTAAGTATACTTACTAGAGGTGTGATAAGATGATTGAAGCTCTTAATTTTCGCCTTGATAACATTTATGTACGTTTTGGCAATACATAATAAAATAAGAAGATGTGGTATAATTGCCAACGAGACAACTCTCCACAAGAGCCAAATAACACAGAAATTAACAACTATAGTTGTAGGTGTTCATATGGGCACCAATTGCGCCCCTTTAATAACAGACTTGTTCTTGTACTGTTATGAATAACAGTTTATAGCCAAACTAAGTGAAGACTCGTCTAGATTAATGCATTTGATTTATAAATTCAATAACACATAACGTTATCTTGATGATATTTTTTCGTTAAATAATCATGAATTTTCTAAATATACTGGCGAAATTTACCCAAAGGAACTTCCTTTGAATAAGTCAAATATAAACGGTAATAACTGTCCTTTCTTATATTTGGATATTTCAATTTTACACGGGAAACTCTACATAAAAATTTACGACAAACGGGACGATTTTTCGTTCCTTATCGTTAATTTTCCTTTGTTGGACGGTGATGTTCCTTTGGCACCATCTTACGGTGTTTATATATCCTAACTCGTTCGCTATGCCCGTGTCTGTAGTGCCGTTTTTGATTTCACGGAGCGTAATCTATGTATTACTGATAAAATTATTAAGTCAGGGATTTCGTTACCACAAATTACTTAAAACCTCTGTTTTTTTTAAAATAATTCTTCCATAGATATAAAGATTTGGTTTGGAAGTTTGGCTGTATCTGTAGAAAACATTTTCAATGTGGATATCTGTACGTAGTTTGCCGAGCCTGGAAATTTAAATAATATCCGGGTAAACTTATCGATCCTTTAAATAAACTTAAAATGTGTATTCTAACATGTCTAAAAGGTTACCAATTCAACACTGAAATTAGATCTTCGAATATTGTTTTTATTGGTATAAATATTGATTTTGTTATCAGTAAATTAAAATCAAACTAAATATAATTGTTTTATACATATGCACATTCATGGCTCTACAATCTGTCGAGACCTGTATCTTGGCATTGAACAAGGTCATATTTTCTTTGACTGTTAACGACGTCTTTTCACTAATTCTATTGGATGTTGGATGTGTACTGATTGACATTTTAGTTTTAGATGCATGATTTATTCATTAGTTGTTATTGGCTTTGAACTAGCTGCCAGTATCTGGAGTACTCTCAGGTCTGCACTTAGTGTCTTTTTTGTTGAGGGGATGTATAAGTACCCTGCCACGTCCGGTCTGTGTTTTTGTTAGATGTTTTTCTGCTTTGTATCGATCTGATGAGTTAAGTCCTTTCCAACTGATTTTTATAGTTTGTTCTTATATTGTACTGTTACACCACTGTCCCAGGTTAGGGGGAAGGTTTAACGTCAGCAAAATAGAATAACCCCGCTAAATTCTGTATGTGCCTGTCCCAAGTCAGGAGCCTGTAATTCGTTTGTTGATGTATGTCATATTTATTTTGCGTTAATTTTTTTGTACATAAATCGGGCCTTTTATAGCTGACTATGCGGCATGGGATTTGCTCATTGCTGAAGACTGTACGGTGACCTATATTTGTTAGTTTCTGTGTCATTTGGTCTCTCGTGGAGAGTTGTCTCATTGGCAATCTTACCACATCTTTTTATTTTTATATAACTTCCATTATCTTGGTTATATATAAAACACAATATGGAAATAACACTTTATACATTATAAACGATTTGAAGATAAGCAGATCAAGTGTTTCCTCATAAATAATTCTACATGGATATTTTCTGTTTTACAGTTTGAGTTATAACATGATACTTCTGTGCTAAAATAAGATATCATTAAAGCGACAATTGCTTGTAAATGTACTATTAAAACATGTTAAACACCCAGGTTTTATACCCACAGAAAAAGATAGTTTAAGCCATCTTTCTAGAACTTTGGCGAGTAGCTCTTCAAATTCGTAACTGATTTGACTTAACACTGCTGCTTTGAGTGCAACTGAAAAGAGCGTCTATCGTACTAAGTTATGGTACTGTATCTGTGATGAATTATTATATAACGTTCACATATTCATATACATAGATTGAAATCAAGTACTCCGGAAAAAAGTAAAACTACAAAAATACCGAACTCCAAGGAAAATTCAAACCGGAAAGTCCCTTATTAAATAAGAAAATCAAAAGCTCAAACATATCAAACGAATGGAGTATTAGCGTATAGACATATTTCAATAGACGTACTTTAAGCTGAAGTTGAACCCTAGACCGCATGTTTGAAGACACACTCTTTGATTTTCGTATTTGGCTAAATTTGTTATACAGCCAAAGATTCTTCCAAAATTGTAGTGATAAATTATGCAAGGCTTAAACAAATCAAAATTTAGCGGTTTATGAAGAAATTTCCGCACGTCGTCATCCAACGTGGCGGCCAAGGGGTAACAACTCTACTTTCGTAACGTTAAGGGAAAACTAACTATGCTGTTCCAGCCAAATAAAAAAAAGATAAATGGTAAAGAAACTAATTTATTATAGAACAGTATTTTACAATAACAGTCAAAATATACAATTTTGATCAATATGTGTATATAGATAAATTTAAGCTAAAATCAAATCATCAATTAAACGTAGATAAAAATCAAAAGAAAATACTAATTTATAAAAATAAATAAACAATTGCATTGTATATATGGTTTTGTGTATTATACTGCAAAAATCATTACAAATGTGTACTCTAATACACAAATGTTACAATATGCACTTGACTGGAAAATTATTACAAATTTACATTTTACCATGTGATTCATTACTAGTAAACGTGCAATTTCCCGCGGGAATCATACCAAATGTACACATTCCCACAGGAATCATTACAATTTTTAGTAATTTAAAGAACTGTGCAATAAACATTTGTTATTTTTATATCAATATTCACACCTTTTCATACATATATGTCCTAACAAAATAGCAGGTAAACACAACAAAAAATAAGTTAATTCTAAATTCCCTAAAATATGAAACTAGAGGAATATGTATCTCTAGTTATATGAGACAGTAACATCAACATAAACAGACTGAGAAGTAAAACTGTAAGAAATGTGCATCAATCACTGTTGATATGAAGCATGAAGCCATCTCTTCATTTAAAAATTCTTATTTACAAGAAATATCAATTTTACTCGTGTTCTGTTAATGTGGTCTTTCATAATGTACATCTCTTACATATTCAGACAGCTTTAATTTAAAACCTCAGAAATAGTAGTTTCTGTTGTATATTCAGAGAGAAATGAGGCTCACCATGAGCGGATTTGGGAACAACACAACAATAAATTTCTTCTCATGTAAATAATGTGTATAAACAATTTAAATATTTGTAAAATGATAAGTTTTACATAATAATCACGTAGCCGCTATATATTTTGGGATATAATTCGATAGTCTTATTTTAATTGACATTGTTAAATTAAAAACATTACATATAGTCTCGCAATGTTTTTTCACAATAACAAACACAAATTTTCAAGCCAAAAGCAGATAACCGAAAAGTATTTCAAATCCACATTTAAACTTTAATGGAAAAGTTTTCTATTTTAAACAACAACAAAAAAAAAAGAACAATGCAATTAATTTTTAAGTTCAACAAATGGTATCGTATCGTCATGGAACAATATATGTAAAAAGGCAATGATACGACAGTGCAAACAAAAAATACCCAAACATTTCAGCAATTACCAAATGTGCTGAGTGAGAAATACCCAAACATTTCAGCAATTACCAAATGTGCTGAGTGAGAAATACCCAAACATTTCAGCAATTACCAAATGTGCTGAGTGAGAAATACCAAAACATTTCAGCAATTACCAAATGTGCTGAGTGAGAAATACCCAAACATTTCAGCAATTACCAAATGTGCTGAGTGAGAAATACCCAAACATTTCAGTAATTACCAAATGTGCAGAGTGAGAAATACCTAAACATTTCAGTAAATACCAAATGTGCGAAGTGAAAAGCCAAATACTAAACATACATGTAATTGGAACTTTGATCCGATTGCGGATGTTGCTAAACGTATAAACTATTATCTATTTAGGAGAAAAAAGTAGACATGTAAGAGTTCATTCAAATTTCTTCTTCTAATTTCTCTAATAAGCTGTTTGTAACAATAAAGTAGAAAACATTTTAATTTTAGTTAAGACATATTAACACTCTCACATTTTTGTTACAGTGAGACTACCGATTGACCGTATGCATACATGTATTGGGCTATATCTAGACCAGATCTTTTAACAATTCTATTTTTTATATAAAAACATGCATCAGATTAAGCTTGTGTCGGCGATGCTACTGTTATTGTAGTACGATTACAAGATTGGCCCAGAACGATATAAACATTTAATTATCAACCAATACGATGACGATATTTTACTTTTTGGATACGAACGATGCAACTACCAATAGTCCTTTAGATTTTGAAATGGCGAATTGCTTCATTGCTTCAATTATAAAACAATTACATTTCTTTCAAGCACATTGTCAATTTATAAAATTTATTATAAATAAGAATAAGGTAAGCTGATGACTCAATAAAATGAAAAGTTTACAACAAATGACTGAACGAAATATTCTTCGCCCTTTTTTGAGACAAACATAAAATGTGACACACTTTTCATTGGACTGTGATCATGTCACGTGCTCAATATTTGTTAAAACGTGCAATATGTTTAAGTAGAAAGACCATTCGATATGTAAAGGGGGACAATTTTAGTCAAATAAAAGTTTTACATTTGTAATTCCAAATAAAATAATGTCAATTGTTAGTAATTATTAATATCTCCATGACAAAACCAAGCAAGAAAAATTAATGATCTTGAACTTGCGCACATTTAAAAATCTTTTTTATTTTAAAAACCAATTTGCATGCAAATTTTTACATGAATAAATTCAATGTGAATAGAGAAATCTCTTTTCTGTGAAGGATTTTGAATTTAGAAAACATTGTACAATATATAATAATTGCATCGCAACTATTAGTCTTCATTAGCTACATGTCCCGATTGTTTTTTTTTCAAAGTATGTTTTTTCAACTACACCCGCTCTGAATGATACTATAACTCCCCTCTTTATCTAGCTAATTTGAAAGATTGATAATATTTCATTTTCTAATAACAGACTTTGCTTATAGTGTGCGAATGTTTGGCACAGGGATACCTTCTTAAGAAAAACAGGCTGTGTTCTCTATCATTGCAAACCTTTTCAAAGGACTTTTTTCCGGTGAAAGAAAGTTGTTAATAGTTTTCAATGTGTCACTATCTGCTTTGCAATGATCTTTTTAAAACAATAGTGAGATAAACAAACTCAGATTTTGGAAATAACATTATGCTTGTTCAACTTGTAGTACGGACAGGGAACACAAAAAAACTACATATGAGTGGTTCACCTTTTCAAATGAACTGAAGTAACTTTTATGTAAAATAGTATGACAACTGATTAATAATTGGATTTCAAAATCTTACCCTAAAACATTATAATTGATATTTATTCCCTGCCATGTGTCATAAGCTTCATGATAAACATTGTTGCATGGAGATCGCCTTACAATATCTGGTGGTTTTTTGTCAAAACATCGGTACATCAAATCAGCAAACATTTCAAAAATTAAAGAAAAATGGTTTTTATCTTCCTTCAACTGTACAATATATTTCAACTAAATTTAAACAATTAGAAAACTAACAGAATTGGTTGTAAGTCACATAATAGTTCAGGTTGTAAGTCACATGATAATTCTGGTAGTAAGTCACGTGATTATTCAGCAGTACAAGTGACCAGGTTCATGTAATTGTGAAACATTATCATGATCTTGATTAATCATTGTCACGCAAAAGCCTTATCCTAATATTAATCTATAATTGTTAGCAATCACTCTCACGATCTGGATTCGGAGCAGCTCTCTCACCTGTTAACCAGTAAGTTGTTACTTTACCTTTTCCCTAAAAAGATATGAAAATACAAACTTACTTATAAGTAGTGTTAGATATAACATGCTTAAATATAGGTAACGTTTTTTGTGTGGTTCAGATATCAGGTGATCGTTTTGACAAAATAATAATGATATTCTTTCCTTTTTGGTTGCAAAAAGTATATTCTTTTGAAATTGTAAGAAACTTACAAGTGCATTGGGTTTTCAGAAATTTCATAAAGAGTAAATATTTCAAAGTACTATTCCTTATTCCTGATCATGTTTAAAGGGACAAAATTTTTAAAAAATCGTATAATTTCTATAGTATAGTAAGTGTACACAATCAGATCAACTCACTTAACTTTGATTCATTTTGATCAGACAATAGTGTACGCATTTTAGCGATCAATTATTGATAAACATGCTACATGTGAAACTGGATCTGCATACCCTTCCGGAGCATCTAAGATCACATCGGGTTATAGGTTGCATAGTCTTCTATGCAGTGTATGTGCACTGTGTCGTTTTTTGTTTTTTTTTTGCCTTGGTATTTGTCGGTTATTCTTCCACTTTTGAGTTTTGATTGGTTTTTTGGTATTGGACCGGACCGGTATCGGACAGGACCGGACAGGACGTCTTATGTATTGGTTTGATTTTAAAAATATAAGTACAGCCTATACAAACTCTATCCACATTTCATGTTCAAGGTATAATTCATATATTTACAACTGTTTTAAAAAAAGTAGAATTACAGTGGATTAATGCGTGCTTCTTATGAGAACACACATACAAATACATAGTTACACTGTTAATTACAAAATGTACATTAAGTTTAAGCGTGTAAGCATTTAATTATCAGTTATTCAAGTACACTGAGACATGTGTATGCCAACACCATGTATAAATCTTTAAAAATATATATCAACAATAAGGTATGAAATAGTTACTGATATAAAAATTAGGAGATGTGGTATGATTGCCAATCAGACAACTATCCACCAAAGTTAAAATGAAGTGGATGTCAGCAATTATAGGCAACCGTACGGACTTCAACAATGAGAAAAATCCATACCGTATGGTCGGCTATAAAAGGTCCCGACATGAAAAATATAAAACAATTCAATTGAGAAAACTAACGGCCTGATTTAATAACAAAACAATTTACCAAAAAACAAATATGACAGACTTGAACCAACGACAACCACTGAACTACAGGCTCTTGACTTGGGACAGGAACATAAAGAATGTGGCGGGGTTAAACATGGTTGTGAGCGTTCAACCCTCCCCTAACCTGGGACAGTGGTGTAACAGTACAACATAAGAACAAACTATAAAAATCAGTTGAAAAAGGCTTAACTCATCAGATAGATACAGATGGAAATGCATCTAACAAAAACACAGAGTGGACGTGGACGGGAACATAAACATCCCCACAACAAAAAGGCACTAGGAACAGATCTGTGAATACTCGCAGTTACTGACAGCTAAATCAAAGCCTATAATTGCTGTATATTTAAAGAATTCTTGATTATTTAACGAAAAAATATCATCAAGATAACGGTAAGTGTTGTTGAATTTATCAATTAAATTGAGTTTCGACGGTTCTTTACTGAGTTTGGCCATAAACTATGATTCATAACAGTAAAGGAACAAGTCTACTATTTATGGAACAAACGAAATGATGTTCAGTATAGGGAAAGACAACGGAGTAGATTCCAACACTTACCTTCATTTCGACTGAGCCTCGTAATTCTAATTCAAATGTTGCAAATTTATCTAATATCTCTTTTGTAAATGGACTAACATGTATTCGTAAAGCTGAAAAAATAATTCAGATAGATAAATTTGATGACTTTTCAGATCAATGAACATAATTAAAGCATTTCATACTCTTAGAATAAAGTTGATCTGTTTAAATCAAGTCAATGCTAGTAAGAATATAGAGTTATTGTATTGCTGTTGGTAAATACTGTTCCAAGTAATTATAGAATAACTAATCGAAGAATTCAAATAGAGAAAAATATTTAACGAGTGACCGAACAACACATTAATTCACGAATGCGCGTAGCTCATGAGTTAATTATCAGTGTTGTTCGGTCACGAGTTGAATATTTTTCGATATTTGAATTCTTTGATTAGTTATTCTTTTTATTACATTGGCAAATGGCTTTTTTTATGAAATCAAAGTAGAAAATGTAAGGAACTATATCTTTTTCTACGCATTCACAATTTGTTTTGATCCGACGTTATCGACGTCTCTTTACAACGCCTATTGTTGTATGACGCCAGAGGAGTGAAATAACGTTTATTTCACATGTGAAATTATCGATTTTTATTTCACTGAAAAATCAATGTAATTCATTGCAACCAATGTAATAAGTTTTTATATCGCAAAAGCTCGCATGTGAAATAGTTGTTCTATGAGGGATAATATTCACCAATACTCAGGCAATAACCTCTTTAAAGTAAAACTGTCCATAATATAATGTATCATTTCACAAACGTAAAAAAAAAGTCTTAAACATACCGAACTAGGCAATATGTATATATATTTACTATCTAGTTGTGAACGTCTAGACGAGGTTGTGAGCTATATCAAAAGTTACGATGGCATAATCCAAAATGTAACAGGAACCTTACTATTATGTCCAAACTAAATATGAAAGACTACATCAAAATAAATTTAGAAAAAAATTGTATATATTGATTTGAGATCGCCGATACATTAAAGTTTATTACCAAACCTCATTTCTAGAAATAATGCGCTTCAACAACTAACAGACGATAAATGAAGTGTAAGGGCATGGTCAATATCTAACCTTGAATAAGTCAAACATACTCAAACTAAGTGCATGCATTTTTGCTTTGTGATAATGTAAACGTAGAAAAAACACATCCACCTTTATATTATTTATGTAAACTATCAATTCTCGAATTTTGCGACTGTCGCAAATATCCTATAAGAAACTTTTTTTTACATTTTTACTGAAATGAATCTTAACCTTAAATATACTACGTTAAGGGATGAAACTTACGCAATCCATTCGATTCCATCCTTGATGCGGTATTTACTGTATCACCGAATAAACAATACCGAGGCATTTTAAGTCCCACAACACCAGCACAAACAGAACCGGAATGTATTCCTATACGTAATTTTAATTGTTCAGTAGGTCTATGACGTATTTTGAAAGACAACACTGCATTCAATAATGTTAATGACATCCGGGCAACTTCCCGAGCGTGTAAGTTCCCATTTCTACTGGGTAGTCCAGATACAACCATGTAAGCGTCACCTATTGTTTCAACCTGTAATAAACCAAAATTTGATAAATAAAAAAATAGTTACGTTAAATAAAATCTTTATTGATACACGAATGAACTAGTTTCATGACGCCACGAGTATGAATTACTACACAGGCGAACTAATTCTATAATTGTTGATGATGTTTTATTTATTAAGACATAATGTTGAGTGTATTGTATTAGAACTATAAATGATAAAGACGTGTTTTTACTTTATTATTAAAGCAAAATATCCAACTTTGATGATTAAAATTACTAAGAAAATAATTCAAATGTAGGATAAATGTCCCTTGATTTAATACATGTTAAATTGACAACATTACAGGTAATATGACTTTTGTAAATTTGACAAAGAAGTTTGGCTTAACTCACTAAGTCGAACCTGCACTTAAGTCTCCATCTCTTATAAAAAAGTATAACAAAAACACTGAACTCCAAGGCAAACTAAAATAGGGGATGTCCAAAAAACTGACAAAATCAAACGCTATCAATCAACGGAACAAGTCAAAAACAACTGCCATACTCCTGACTTAGTAAAGGCATTTTTCAGAGAAAATTGGTTATCTGGTTATAGTTAAGTAAACCTCCCACTTATATGACCGTTGTGTATAGTTCCGTTATATTGACAAAATTGGGTAAGCAACCAAACAGACATAATAGGTTAATGTGACAAATTAATCTAACAAAGACGCCAACAAAAAAGGTGTAGTAAATAGTAATAACTGATCATAGATTCCAAGACCAAAATTTTGTACGCAAGGAGTGCGTTCCGTCTGTACAAGACCCATCAGTGACGTAAATTATACAATGAGGTCACAAAAAAAAACGTCGTTAATGGTACATACCGTTTTTTATACACTTTCTCGATAAAGTAAAAAATAAATAATTAGAAATTCCATGCCTTACTTTCGGCTTCTAGGTATTTTTTTTTTTTTTTTGAAATGTCACAAACTTTTTATCGATTCTCAGCATGGATAGTTGGAATTAACAAAATCCATCTAAGAGAAGTATACGTTTACTCTTGATTTAGAATTTATATTCGTGAAATGTTGTCCCACATGATATACCGGTGTGGAATTTCTTAGAAAGGAGACAACATAAAATTCTTGTTCTACTTACCTTATATACATCAAATTTTTCTAAAATGGTATCAAATGTAGTGTATAAATCATTTAAAAGATCTACCACCTGAAATAAGAAACAAGACAGTTTTAGTTTGTAACCCGGATTTGGTTTTATCTCAATCGATTTATGGATTTCGAACATCGGTATACTACAGTTGCCTTTATTTACCGTATTAACAATATGTAAAACATGAACATGTGATTTATAATAATAGTAAACATCATGTCCAACATGAGCTAATATTTAGAAAGGTTTGTACTTGTACATCCCATGCAAATCAGTTATGTCTGTGCACATGTATCAAATATGTTTTGAAAGGTCAATTCATGTCTTATTGCTGTTTTAATGACAAAACATCAGAATATATTTTGTCATATTTCTGTATTAGGCTTATTTTGTTCTAGGCTTAATGAATCAGTACTTCGGTACATGATTTATAATAAACATTTTTTAAAATTATCCATTTATATCTTTTGAAATTATAAAGAAACTAAGGTTTCAACTCCCTCAGGCAAAGTTGATTACTTTTAGGATTTTTTGTAATATAGCTCTTCAACTATTTCGGTTCTTATACATTTTTGTGTTTCAAATATTCGGCTTTAAGCGTTCCTGATGAAGGTAAATATAGGAAAGCACTTCAGAAGCATACAATTTATAACGTCTTGTTTTAATTTTTAAAGAAATAGTATGAAGGTACCAGGGAGAAAAAAAATCATACAACATCAAACAGATAATCAAATAAAAGAGGTACGAAAAATACCAGAGGGACAGTCAAACTCATAGATCGAAAACAAACTGACAACGCCATGGCCAAAAATAAAAAGACAAACATACAAATAATAGTACAGATGACACAACATAGAAAACCATAGACTAAGCAACACGAACCCCACCAAAAACTGGGGGTGATCTCAGGTGCTCCGACACACAGAATGAGATAAAGTCAACAACACTTTTAGGAGGAACTAAGATGTTTCAAAATGTTAGACAGTAACTGCTGCAATAATATCCTTTATGATACCACAAATTCTAGACGTATGCCTAACATTTTCCATCAAAATTTAACGATGTCTCATTTCAGATAAAATAACAATACTTTGACGCGAATAAATATATCTTGAAAGAAATATTAAGAACTTTTGTTCTTTATGTGATTAAGGTTTGCTTTTTTTTGCAAAACGTTTGCCATTGACTTTTAGTTTTTGTGCTTACTGTTAGTACACATCTTAATGTTTCGTTCATCTATGGTCTTACTACTTCAATATTCTTATTTCCCTTTCCATATAATTGGAACGGTATCTGATATGTTTCATTCACCATCATTAGTGAGGAAGATTTCGCTCATCCTTCCTTAGCAACTAATCAATCCTAGTTTTTGTTTTAATTCCTGTTACTCAATTTCTGATTGTTTATGTTGACTAAAATAATTCTTTTATCTTTAAAGTTTTCATTGGAGTTGTTATTTTCTATTCTTCTCCTACCTATAAGTGCAAGGTCAATTATTTAAACAAAACTAAAATCGAGATACATCTGGATCTAAATATACTTTTGACTGTTTAGTTTATAGTTATCTGCCCTTGAGTGATGTTTATTCAAACGTGCATTTTTATTACAAACATAGTGATATCTCACCTGGAATGGAGTGGATTCAGACGACAAGGCTGTGAATCCACAAATATCACTAAAATAAATAGTCACGCTTTCAAAGTTTTCTGCAGGCACAGATTCACCTCGAATTAACGAATTTGCTATTGATCTACAAATATATAAATGAATGATTAAAAGCTTTGGATTGGTAAACACAAAGGCAACGAATTAATTCTAATAAACAAACAAAATCGCATTTCTGTAAAATGTTTTCGTTTTGCAATGATTGAACATTCATATTTATATTTGAAAAAGAAAAAAAAGAACTACCAAAAAGTGAATAAATATAGATGTTTCATTTCTCATTCGATAGTTTTTAATCGTCATCACGTTTTGACAACCTTTGATCGACTGGGTACTTGTTCGATTAAGTACCTGGAATTCGTGAACAACAGGGTAAACTATCTGAAAATTGCCTGTATATTTGCCTGACTGATAAACTTCAAAAGAAGATAAGGAATCCAACTTTTTAAAACCATGTGTCTACTATTGTAATTCTTTTTCACATAAATGTTGAAAAAAGAACTCATGAAATGGATGTCCTCTATCAAAAACGCATCATGAATCAAAACTTACTTTGGTAACATCATATATAATAAATCTTCTGCCTTTTTCTTTTGCTCCAGATAATCTGCTGTCCGTTCCTCGACTAGTGCTTCTAAGTTGTTTGCATACTGTTCCATTCTTGAGAGTAAATTATCTAATATGTTTCCCTTATCTCCATCCCTAGAAGTAAGTTTTAGAAAAACAGGTTTAACTCGGTCATTTACAACTAATCATGCACTACTAAATAAATTTTAGTTTTAGATGATCATTTTGATATCAACTTCCATTTAAAAGTCTGAACCCCCCTAAAAACGTTTAGAGTGAACACTTTTTTTAGTTATTTTTTGTTATACATTCAGTACTATTCAGACTTTTGGCACTGTTCAGTAGCTTTCAGAAAATTCAGTATATTATTTTTGGTACAGGTACATGTAAATAACAGATACCGAACAGTCTTCACATACACTGAACAAATCTTTATTGACTGCTATTTAATTGTATGGAGAGTCATGACAGTTCTGAATTTACATAAAATTAATATAAGACTGAAAATATCCTTAATTATTTATTGATAAAGCTTTTCAGAGCTGTTCAGATTAAAATAGTCGTTTTAGATCAAAATTTGTTTACTAGTACTAGTTGGTTTAAAGATGTTTTTAAATTGATAATACTACCCCATAAAGGCTAAGCATGATATGGGAGAGCATTAGTGATGCCTGTCCAAAGTCAGTGCTTGTCCTATGTCATACATTATTTTTTTTGTCATTTCTTGTTGATGCCCTTGAATGATTGGCATCGGTAGAGTATTGTCTTATTGACTTGAACCTTACATCTCATATTATTCATATACACGAAGACTTCGAAAGAATAGTCTGTATTTCATTATTCTTTGCTTTTTCTTATTTTTTCTCTTACTTTTAGTTTCTGCCCGATATTTTAAATTCTATAACCCTTATGTAGATACTCATACATTTAAAGACAAAGTTTAACACAGTTTCAATTATGCGCAAACCCTTTTTTTTTTTATACATTTATCAATAAATAAACACTATTTGAATAGTATTATGCTTTTGCATTCAATGTTTTTATATATTTTTAAGTTGTTTGATTGAACAAAACGACTTTCCTCGGTGGGCAGATGAAAATGATAAAAATTTAATTGGATAATAGCGGACTACCTACGGTGGGCAAATTGAAATGACAATATTTGATAGAACAAAAGTTAGCTTCCATTGATGGTAAGGTTGGAAGGTAGCAATGGCGAAATGAATCTGACCTGTTGTTTTCCCTTATTATTTGTCCTGAAAAAAAAAAAAAAAAACGATTTCATATATTTTATATAATACTCGTTGGACATTGAAGCATTAGACAGTATTCTGCTGTTAATCAAATATGATTTAATTTTAATTGCCTAATGTATGAAAAATGTAAATAACTGAAGAAATTATTTCCTATTTTGCAACACACGAAGATTCAATTATTCGGCAAAAGATTTGATAATCCATTTAAATATTAGCATACACAATGATTATTTTCCGTATTTTCTCTAATTATTATTGTCTTACACACGAAATAAAATATTGATGTCTTTCGTTCTACCATTACTAGTCCCACTTATTAACTTTTATGTAAACATACATACATTAAATTTATGATCACAATTGATATTAAAGGCGAAAAATTTAAACTGTTTATCAAATCTTTCAAATGGCCTACAAAAATGTCAAATACTGCATGAATAAGGTCAACTATGCATGATTCAGTTGAAAACAAAACCAATGAGATGTGGAATGATTGACATTGAAACATATATCCCCTCTGAGACCAAGGACGAGGATGTAAACAACACAAGAGTGCACACGCTGAAATGTCTCGCCTTCTTTACTAATCATTGATATTATGTTGATAGTCCTAAATATAAAGCTTTATTACAACTGTCGCATAAATTTAACATTAACCAAGTAAACTAAACATTGACCAATGAACCATGAAAATGAGGTCAAGGTCAGATGAACCATGCTAGGCAGGCATGTACAGCTAACAATTCTTCCATACAACTAATATAGTTGACCTATTGCTTATAGTTTAAGAAAAACAGACCAAAACACAAAAACTTAACACTGAGCAATGAACCTTGAAAATGATGTCAAGGTCAAATAAAACCTGCGTGATTGACATATAGATCAAAAAATATTTCCATACACCAAATATAGTTGAACTATTGCATATAGTATTAGAAAAAAAGACCAAAACTCAAAAAATTAACTTTGACCACTGAACCATGAAAATGAGGTCAAGGTCAGATGACACCTGCCCGCTAGACATGTACACCTTACAATCGTTCCATACACCAAATATAGTAGACCTATTGCATACAGTATAAGAAAAACAGACCAAAACACAAAAACTTAACTTTAACCACTGAACCATGAAATGAGGTCAAGGTCAGATGACACCTGCCAGTTGGACATGTACACCTTACAGTCCTTCCATACACCGAATATACTAGACCTATTGCTTATAGTATCTGAGATATGGACTTGACCACCAAAACTTAACCTTGTTCACTGATCCATGAAATGAGGTCGCGGTCAAGTGAAAACTGTCTAACGGGCATGAGGACCTTGCAAGGTACGCACATACCAAATATAGTTATCCTATTACTTATAATAAGAGAGAATTTAACATTACAAAAAATCTTAACTTTTTTTTCAAGTAGTCACTGAACCATGAAAATGAGGTCAAGGACATTGGACATGTGACTGACAGAAACTTCGTAACATGAGGCATCCATATACAAAGTATGAAGCATCCAGGTCTTCCACCTTCTAAAATATAAAGCTTTTAAGAAGTTAGCTAACGCCGCCGCCGCCGCCGCCGGATCACTATCCCTATGTCGAGCTTTCTGCGACAAAAGTCGCAGGCTCGACAAAAACGGCACAGTACGGCCTTCAACAATCAGCAACACTCATACTTTGTAGTATAACATGCCTGAAAAGGCCCGGCATGACATTACATGTATGTTATTCAATTCAAATGAGAAAACCATCGGATTATTTCTGCTTAAAACAACAAACGAAAATAAGATAAACGGACAGTAATCAACGATGTCTTTTTATTTCTAAAGAAATCAATTTTGCTGAAAGACTAACAGCAAAGTCGCCAAAAGAATTAGTATCGAAGTACAAAAGTAACAGAAATTTTTAAATTCCGACTCGTTCAAATAAGTAGGATGTCAAGAGATTGTTTTCATATACGAGTATAGATGTACGATTGCAGGATTTAGTCCGAAGAATCACATTCAACTGAACCAATTTAACTGCAGCAGCTAGACTACTCAACAATTAATATCTCTTCAGTGATGGTCGACCCCAAACTATTAGTAAACCTATCCATAAGGGAGAATCTTTTCTAAATTACAATAAAACCTAAAAGAAACATTTGAGAACTGATTTAATCGAAAAGGACCAAAAATATTGTCAAACCTGGACAAAGAATCAGAGTAAGAGAAAGAAACATTCCTTAATTTCACAATATCTCCGAAGTTTAACGACAGCAAAATAAAAAAAAAACGTATCCGTATTTAAATGCCATTATCGAAGTATTAAGCTACTTGGCTCTGTCCATCTTCAAAGGTTTCGACCCTGAGGTAGTAATCCCAATATACGTAACAAATTTTGATGCATCAGATGCGCATTTCGAAAATGAATGTCTTATCAGTGATGCTCGAGGCCAAAGTGATTTGTTCAGTAAAGAAACTTAAAATACGAGTTATTTCGAAGAATTTTTAACGTTGATATGCTAATTAGTGAATTAAACAAATCGATTTTGGGAGTTTACTAGTTGTAATTAAGTTGTCAATAATAGTCAAGAGATCGGAACTGTAACTGATCGACACAATATGTAATTCAATTATTGTGAAAATATCCTTACATTTAATGTTTTCATTATTTAAATTAAAATCAATAATCAAACTTACTTTCATATTAATGAAACGATAAGTACTCGGATGTTAGGAAATATTAAATAACATATTTTGAGTTTTTTCAAACAATTTACAGGTATTATACATCAGGCATGTAAAAAGTCATCAGATATGGGTCGCAAAAGGAAATTCTCTAAACCATCCAATTCTTACTATTAGAAAATGAGGTATAATTTTTATAACATACTATTATATATATTTATAGATTTATTCCGAGAAACAAGTTTAACATTGACATCATTACAGCTCCGATGACATTTTGTCATTTAAATCGACCCACTATTGACAGTTGATTACTGCCCACTCAAATTTAACATTAGATTTTGTAAACATACTGACAGCAAAAGTCAACTCAATTTTTTCAATTGCATTTTGCGTGCAAGTGTTATGATGAAAGAAAAGAAACAAAACTTTGAAAAACTCCGGCACATTTTCATGAGTCTGTTCTAAGCAACTTCGTCAATAGTTGTCGTAAGTTATATGTTAATGCTTTTCTTAAATTGAAGAATTGGATAATCATGAAAATTCTTTGATTGTATCATATTAGATTTATTCACAAAATATATACATCTTGGACGATTTAGTGTTTGAAATATTGCATAGACACTTTCAATTGAAGATTGTATTGTGCCCTTTGGTTGTCGTTTTACGTTAATCAAACATCTCCTTTTATTCCTATGTCCACTCAAAAGGGAGGGAACAGGTGACCACCATGAGGGTTGTCCAACTTTGTGTGCACACACCAACCGTGGAGCAGTTAAAGTGACAAAACCCGGCTCATCTGTAGAGCCGCTGTGAGTGTTTCAGCTTAATTTGTTTAATACGATAAACAAAATACGGGATACATGACATAGGAAACAAATCACACAACAGAACTTATACGGAATTAATCAAACAAAGCCATGGCAGCCTTCAATATTGAACAAATCTGTTTAGCCCTCAATCATCTCTTGTATAGAAACGTATGATACCGAATTCAGTGTGCTTGACACGTGTTCCTTGAATACATGTAACCTTCAAACAAACATACAATATCGCCCTATACCCTTAATTAAGTAACTCAAATGCATAAGCATTAATTGAAACCAAAAATGACATTAAGTAATTAGATAATCCATACTTCAGTTCGATCCCCTATATTTGTACTTTTTCATCATAAAATTGCATGCCCAACTTGCAGGTGTATTCTATAAAGATTTTCGGATTATTCTGATAGTCATCGATTCCGTTCGAAAACCCAAGCGTCCCCCGAAACGAAACTGTCCGTCATGATATTAAAGTGACATGCAGAAAATTGAACATGCAGCAATGTGTGCAACTGTGCATTGAAAGGTGCTGTCTATATGTCGATTCCATTCATGATTTGTATTGAGGAATACAATATAACTATAGTTGAAAATCAGTAATCAAACAGGATAGGTATGTTTTGTGTAGTCTAAAAGACATATTGCCTGTCCCAAGTAAGGAGCCTGTAATTCAGTGGTTGTTGTTTGTTGCTGTATATCATGTTTGTTTTTCGTTTATTATTTTGTACATTAAACTTTTTTTTTTCTCGTTTGAATTGTTTTACATTTGTCATTTCCGGGCCTTATATAGCTGACTATGTGGTATGGGTTTTACTCATTGTTGAAGGCCGTACGGTGACCTATAGTTGTTAATTTTTGTGTCATTTGGTATCTTGTGGAGAGTTATCTCATTGGCAATCAAACCACATCTTCTTATTTTTTAATATAAGTATAATTTAATTTTGGATGTTACACGTATTCTGATTGGCTGAAAATTTTTTGTCTTTCAAGTCTTAGACATAATTTTGTCATGTGATCGTGAATCATCAACAGTTTTCCATGATTTACTCCTTAAAAATGGAATTTATTTAGAATTACGCGGGTTATTCAGTATGCACCACATATTTGATGTTATTTCTTCATTGACAGAAAAAAATATTACAGTCATTCCTTAATTGTATTTCTTTAAGTCACGAAAATCAAATATCTTAAACGTCTTGCAATATAAAACCAAATATCTTAAACATGTTAAACGTCTTGCAATATAATATCAGTACATATTTTCATCACATTATGATACACTAATCCATCAGCTCCTGATCGATGTTTCTCAGTGGGAAAATATATTATTACTATTTTTCTTAAATTTTTAATGAATTTAATAAATCTAAAAATACTTGATATACTGCTTGTAAATTATTCATTATATTATTGATACCAGTGGCTATAATTATAGAAACGTCTTCATTTTACTGATGAACTTATGATTTCTTCTAAATCTTGATGGCGATTATTCATCAAAAGTGTCGACTTCATAAATAAATTATGATTAAGAATAAGTATGCTTCGCGAACAATAGGATTGAAACGATTAAAACAGACAGCTATCTCTTTCCCATGTTTTTCTCGGTTATACTACAGATATATGCTTGTTTTCAAGATCTTCAAAATAAATCATTTTTGTACGAGCAGTTGGTGCAAGCGTTTATCACAGTATTTACAGTAGATCAATGCCCAAAGAGGAAATTGTGGCGGAAAATTAACATCATCCAAAAATATGTATTCATATGATGAACTTTCAGTGGTATATTTCTTATCAATATGTACGATTTTATCTATCAATTAATATACTACAATCCCCCCTCCGCATCGACTAAATCAATTGCAGCTTTCAGAATAATTCTCAAAATCTTCTTACTGAACAAATTCCGAGTTTACCAGGCTAAAATCCGGCATATAAATATATGCTACCAAAATAATATCAGAAACTTGATAACGTAACCGATATTAAAAAAAACAAAAAATTACGAATAAGATTTAAGAACTGTGTGCACAAAATGACGTGTGTATCCACGCTTAATGACTTCTTTGAAGTTATTTTATGTCCACGATAGCATCATTTACTTGTTCTTGTTTTAGAACTTACTTGACATGAACAGTTTTCTGATGATGGACTGGAGTGGTGAAAGATCCATTGGACATTCCTAACAATATTTTCCAATTTAAGTTTTATATCTTATATAGATACTTACTTGTTAAGTTTTCTAATGATGGATTTAAGTGTTGGAAAATCTGGTCTTTCCATGGGATCTTCTTTCCAGCACTGTCTAATGACATCTGCTAGTTCATCACATGGGCAATCACATTCATCTAATGTCGGGCGGAAATACGGTCTCAGTCCATTTTTCACTTTCTTGTAAATTTCTGTCACATGAAAATAGATGAGTAAGGATGTTATCATATTGTCAATGTATTGTTCTTAACCAGTTACATACAAATATTGCGCATTCAGAGAAAACATATCTTTCTCATCCAACAATCAGCGCTGTTTCCAAGTTTCAGTAGCTGTCATCTCTTACCACTTGACAGATAAGGATATATCAAGATATCTCTCGGTTTTTGTCAATAAGTTACAAAGCTTCCACATCGAAGGTCAATACTTGCAATATGGTTTTCGTTTCTACGCATTAAAACCTTTGGGACATTTAAGAACAGTTAGAAATCCGAGAGAGTTATTTTTACTTGGGCATATTGATTGTTTCTATGGAATGTGTTCACTCCTATTAGAACTTGTCTTTGATTTCCTTCTATCTTGTTGATTGGTATATAAAGACAATTTATTTCACCAAAGGGAAAGAATCCAGTCGTAAATTCAGTTTCGAAAATAGGCAATTTGAATAATTAAAGTGATTTAATGCACTCTAGGAAATTAAACAAATTTCTTTAAATCAAGGCAACATTGAAGGGTTTGATTATTATAATCCCAAAAATTATCAATTCCTATGCCATAAGCTCAGTTTTAATCCGTAAATATTTATTACATAAATTATAGATAGTTTTTAAGATCTTAGAAATTCAGATATTAGAATAGTGGTCTGATTTGTAAATTGAGAGATTGTGTCCTTTTTCCAAATTGTGATATTTAGACTGAGTGTGGATTCGCATGGCATATAATGCCTACCATATCGACGCAATATGATGCGTCCTTTTGGAGTTCAAGCAATTCTCTTCCTTTTTTACCTTAATTTGTATCTCGTATGGATATATGATATCTGAAAACTTGTTAAAACTTACCAAAAGGCTTATAATGAGGTATGGCAGACGCGGAATACTACTATTGCCTCGAATTCATACATGTTTGATAGAAAAATCTAACAAACATTGGGATACAGATCATAGGTTTTATATTTTTTATGACACCTTGACTAATATTAATTTGGCTCGTTTAATTTTCATAAAATTTTGACAAAATGTTTACTTTGACCCTTTGACAAAAATATAAAAATTTCAAAAAATTTGAACCAACCACTTTATCAGAAAAATTTCATTGGTTATAAAGCAGTTTGACAAACACTAATTTTGATCATTGAGAAGCTTAATATTTCCTTAACAATACAACGTAATTAAAACGTTTAGCTGATTTTTACAGAGTTATCTCCCTGTAGTGTTAGGTACCACCTTAAAAACCTCGCCATCTGCTGTTGTCGTTATTATGTGGAACGTAGAGGCTAAATTTTTATTAGATAATGACCGTCTTTGTGTGGAACTTTTTTTTCATTTTAATAACACAAATATGAGAAAAGATAATGGACAGGAACGAATCAAGACATTTCTTGGTTGATATCCAAATAATAGCTTATTAAAAAAATATTTGATTAAACTATTACTTATAGTTTACTTCTTACTTTGACACGAAACGTTAAAGAAATTTTACTAATCGTTTTGTAATCTCCTTTACTGAACCCCATACAGTGTGTCGTAATGACCATATTGTACATTACTTAGTAGTCTATTCTTAAGATAATAATTTCAGAATCAACGCCGGTATTATTTACAGCAGGATATTACTAAATAAAGAAATAACAACGTAGAGATTTATTGGTAATTCTCACATCCTCAGGCATCTAATCAATTAATCAATAGATTTTCTTAGACTTCTATTTTTAAATGTCCAATATTGTATGCATCTGATAATTACGTGTTGTAACGAAGTTATATATAATTTCAGTTAATAAGTTAATTTGTGAGTTGAACATTTTTATTTTCCCCATCTATTACGGCGAATGTTCATTGTTTAGTACTGAGTGATTTGTAATGAAAAGTATGATTGTAAAAGATAATGAGATGGTTTAAATGGTCCAAAGATACGAACATCAAGATCACGTACGCCAAATTCTATATGCGTTAATCTATCGCCAAATTCTATATGCGTTAATCTATAAGAAGACATTGATTATTCATACGAGTAAGAGTTCACACCATAAAATAACCTTTAAACACGATGTTGAAATACCAGGCATATAGTCAATTATGCCAAACATGCGTATCGTCTATATCCAAGTATTTTGTAAAGGCAAAGTGAGTATTCAAAGTTAAAATTGAGAATGGAAATGGGGAATGTGTCAAAGAGACAACAACCCGACCATAGAACAGACAACAGCAGAAGGTCACCAACAGGTCTTCAATGCAGCGAGAAATTCCCGCACCCGGAGGCGTCCTTCAGCTGGCCCCTAAACAAATATATATACTAGTTCAGTGATAATGAACGCCATAATAAACTCCAAATTGTACACAAGAAACTAAAATTAAAAATAATACAAGACTGACAAAGGCTAGAGGCTCCTGACTTGGGACAGGCGCAAAAATGCGGCGGGGTTAAACATGTTTATGAGATCTCAACCCTCCCCCTATACCTCTAGCCAATGACCAGCATTAAAGACCAAAATTCCAAAAGATCTTTATCCATGATGAAGCCTTTACATAGTTCCCTTGGGTAAAATAATTCTAGTCGAATGACTGAATATGAAATGAACATTACTTTACAGACACAACAGTTACTGTGGATTCTGTTATTTCAATGCCGGCCATGTGCAGTCTATTTTGTTCTGCCCACTCAAACTATACTTTAGATGATATAAAAGGGACCATCTAGAAATTTTGCCCTGTATGACTATTCCAATGATGAACGGCTGAAAATGACATAATCGGCCTGACCTGTAGTATAACTAAAGTTGTAATAATTCGACCAATCAAAAGCAAAATTAATAAAAAGTACAACTTAAAAAAGACTTGGTTTAAAGACAGCCACTGTCAATGCTCCTTGGTTGGTTCAGTCACATAATTGTAAATTTGAATAAATCTACTTGGAAGAGGCGTCAATTTTACAAATTGAATCTAAACAAGATATAACATCAGATTAATAAGTATGTCATGCAAGTTTTACATGTTTTATGTGTTTTAGATTATAAATCTGGTGTCTTTGAAGAGTATTATACTGTTAGGCAAATTTAATAAAGATGACTCGTCAACTATGATATGCATAAAATTGTCAATTACCAACGGTTGCTATTCGCCCATACTGTTTTTGATGTATAACTGAAAACTGTCACAACTATTTTTTCATTAAAAAAGTAATATATCAATTTTGTCTGTAGTATCATCTGACCATTATATATGATCTGATTTACTAGTTTCTACAGCATAACATAAACATTAGTGAATGCTATGTTCCAATTGTCATCACAATCCTGTCCTCTGTTCCTAAAATGTGACCTACCGAAAAAGACTTATCACCGGGTTTGTACTTACATGAGCTACACGACGGGTGCCATATCTGGAGCAGGATCTGCTTATCATTGCGAAGCACCTGAGATCACCCCCGGTGTTTGGTGTGGTTCGTGTTGCTCAGTCTTTAATTTTCTATGTTATGTTTTGTGTTCTGTTGTTTGTCTTTTCGTCCTTTTTCATTTTTTCGCCATGACATTGTCAGTTTGTTTTCGACTTATGAGTTTGAATATGTCTTTGTTATCTCTGCATCAATTTTACAAATAAGAATTTGATCTGCTTGCTTACCTTCAGGACTTAAATCTAAGTTAGCAAGATAGAATACTCCATTTCTGTATACTATTTCCTGACATATTATAGCAAAACTATAGACATCACATCTCGAAGTTCCTTCTGGTGGTCTATTATGCATTCGTAACAACTCTGGAGCAGTCCATAAAAGACCTACAAGACAATGATACACTTTAAAGACAATTATCTTATATGTATTTGATTCATTACTTAATAAATCAAAACAAAATGCATGGGCGTACCCATTTTTTAATATTATTTTCTTCGGTTTGTAGTTTTTAACTATGAACAATATTTGTAGCATCTTTATTTCCTGGAATGTGCATGAGTGAAACAAAATAGTAAATCTTCAAAACGACATTATCCTGTCCAAATGTTTTTTTTAGAATTCATTCTACTGTTCCTTTTTTTCCATATTTACGCTTACTAGCTTTTGACTATCCTTACGTCTATCAGTACCTTTTTGAATTCGGATTTGCATATCTTTTTTAACAATCCAACATCGTTGTTGATCTAGTTTAACTGTCTTAATTCGAGCGCCACTGATGAGTTTTGTATTGACGAAACACGCGTCTTGGTTACTATACTTTTGGCCTGGTATCTTTGAAAAGTTTTGATATTAGGAATATTCATAGTACACTACAGCTTTTTACCTTTACAAATGTCCTTCTAGATCCAATAACTTACTAACAGTAAATTGTTAGATTATGTACGTTATAGATTTAAATCCTTACCTAGTTGTACAAGATTTTTGCATCAACAATTCTTATGAAATGAAAATGAATAAATAAATATTCGCATGCTCATTCTATGCACAGAAAACTACCTTAAAGTTGTGCATATTCTGTGTTAAGTATTACCATGAACGGGTGCAAATAACCAAATCAACCATAACTGTAATAAAATCACAGTGGTTTGACTTACTTTGATAATAAGCATATGACTCTTTATCTGTGTCTTCATCCTTCGATCGGAAGGCATGAAGTCCAAAATCTGTTATCTTTAATACAAATCTTCCATCGACCACACAGTTTGTACTTTTCAGGTTCCCATGACTACGTATATCACTGCTGTGTAAGTATGAAAGGCCCTGAAACGAAAAATAGATACAAATATCATCTGGAAGGAAAATTTAAAAACCCAGAGTCCTTCACCTGGATCTATGTGCATCTTTAATACTGGCAACTTACGAACATTGTTGATTAGAAAAGAATTAATTATCAAATCTCTTTGTGTTGATCTGAATATTTTCTCTCTATCTACTAAAGTTTTGCACAAAAACCCTACAAAATAAATAACAAATAATGACCTTTAGCCATGTTAGCCATGTTAGCCATGTCGGATTGCAGGTGGGATCATGGGACACATTGTTTAAACAAGATTCCTCAAATTAGGATGGTTGCCAAATTTGGTTCTAATTGGCCAAGTTGTTTCAGAGGAGAAGATTTTTGTAAAAGTTAATGGACGACGAGAGACGATGACGACGACTGACGTCAAGTGACGACAACAGCTTACTTAACCATTTCGGTCAGGAGAGGTAAAACAAATAATGCATTGGTCATAGTTGAAATAAACTGATTGATGTAGACGAATTAAGAATTGGATTGATAATAACGTGTATTTTCTGCACGACAACTATTACTGTCCTTTCATGAGTCTCATTCATTATAAGGCAGTGGTTTTCAATAGTTGTTAAAAAAGGAGCCAAAGATACAAAAGGGAAATTGAATTTCATATTTCGAAGAAAAACTGAGAGCGCCATGGCACAAAATATAAACGACGAAATGACAAACTCCAGTCTCCATAACACTCCATACAAAACAATACTGAGCGACAAATACCCCCACTAAACACCTGGGTGAACACAGGTGCACCGGAAGAGTACGCGAATCCTGTCGTGTTTCTGAATTTTCGATTGTCATTTGGAACAATGTCATTTGTAATCACTTACTCTAAGTATATCCTGCATCAGGGAATATCTAAACATCCAGTCTAGCTTTATCTGTTCATTTTCCAAAACATCCTACAAAAGAAATCAGGAATTAACTATGATTTGGTTCTTGTAATTGTATGACAACAAGTCTGTTAATAAGAACGGGGGTCTAACGTTCTAATCCATAACTTATACTAGTTACGTAAGCGCGTCACTGTTTTTGATATCCTGTAGTGTTTTTCGTTGATGGAATATGTTCGTTGTTGTTATGTGGTTTGCATGTTGTGTCGACTATTATATTATTTGTTTGTGCGTTTCTCTGTTATGAATGTTCTCGCGTGTGTTTGTGTTGTATTTCTGTCATAAAGCGGAAGGTTTTGCATGCCATGAAACCAGGTTCAATCCACAATTTTTTCTTAAAATGTCCTGTACCAAGTCAGGAATATGGCAGTTGTTATCAAATAGTTCGTTTCTATGTGTGTTTTGTTGCACTTCGGTGGTCCTGTTGTTCCTTTGTTTTCCCGGATTTGTTTTCTCTCAATCGATTTATGACTTTTGAACACCGGTATACTACTGTTGCCTTTATTTATTATCGAAATAAATGTAAAATATATTATTGATGGACTAAATGATATACCTAATGTAATTCAAACTCATTAAATCCTCTTTGATAAGTTTCAGGTCTCGAGCGCCACTGATCGAGTCGAATGTATACGAAACGCGTAATCGGTGTTACAAATAAAAGGCCTGATATCTTTAGTGAGTTTTAAGTTCATACTTGTGTTTTATATACAGCTGACGCCACTTTAACCGTTAGTATATACGTTAAAAATAACGTAAAGGGCGAGGGCAGGTATCATACAGTTGTTATTTTAAATATGTTTTCCCTGGTAAACGGAAGATAACCCAATTTGATTCATATACTATTGCCAATTTAAATGAATTGTAAGTCTGCTTTATACGTCAAGTACATTTAGTCTAAAGTGAAGTGGATAATGTAAGCTGTCCTTCTGGCAGTACTCTGTTATAATACACATGTTTGAAGGGTCTATTGTACATACCTGTAAGCTGACCTTCTGGCAGTACTCTGTTATAATTCACATGTTTGGGGGGTCTATTGTACATACCTGTAAGCTACCCTTCTGGCAGTACTCTGTTATAGTACACATGTTTGGGGGGTCTATTGTACATACCTGTAAGCTACCCTTCTGACAGTACTCTGTTATAATACTCATGTTTGGAGGGTCTATTGTACATACCTGTAAGCTCCCCTTCTGGCAGTACTCTGTTATAATACACATGTTTGGGGGGTCTATTGTACATACCTGTAAGCTACCCTTCTGACAGTACTCTGTTATAATACTCATGTTTGGAGGGTCTATTGTACATACCTGTAAGCTCCCCTTCTGACAGTACTCTGTTATAATACACATATTTGGAGGGTCTATTGTACATACCTGTAAGCTACCCTTCTGACAGTACTCTGTTATAACACTCATGTTTGGAGGGTCTATTGTACATACCTGTAAGCTCCCCTTCTGACAGTACTCTGTTATAATACACATATTTGGAGGGTCTATTGTACATACCTGTAAGCTACCCTTCTGACAGTACTCTGTTATAATACACATATTTGGAGGGTCTATTGTACATACATGTAAGCTGCCCTTCTGACAGTACTCTGTAATAATACACATGTTTGGAGGGTCTATTGTACATACCTGTAAGCTGCCCTTCTGACAGTACTCTGTAATAATACACGTTTGGAGAGTCTATTGTACATACCTGTAAGCTGCCCTTCTGACAGTACTCTGTAATAATACATATGTTTGGAGGGTCTATTGTACATACATGTAAGCTGCCCTTCTGACAGTACTCTGTTATAATACATATGTTTTAGGGGGTCTATTGTACATACCTGTAAGCTGCCCTTCTGACAGTACTCTGTTATAATACACATATTTGGAGGGTCTATTGTACATATATGTAAGCTGCCCTTCTGACAGTACTCTGTTATAATACACATGTTTTGGGGGGTCTATTGTACACACCTGTAAGCTGCCCTTCTAACAGTACTCCGTTATAATACACATATTTGGAGGGTCTATTGTACATATATGTAAGCTGCCCGTCTGACAGTACTCTGTTATAATACACATGTTTTGGGGGGTCTATTGTACATACCTGTAAGGTGCCCTTCTGACAGTACTCTGTTATAATACACATATTTGGAGGGTCTATTGTACATACATGTAAGCTGCCCTTCTGACAGTACTCTGTTATAATACACATGTTTTGGGGGGTCTATTGTACATACCTGTAAGCTGCCCTTCTAACAGTACTCTGTAATAATACACATGTTTGGAGGGTCTATTGTACATACCTGTAAGCTACTCTTCTGGCAGTACTCTGTTATAATACACATGTTTGGAGGGTCTATTGTACATACTTGTAAGCTACCCTTCTGACAGTACTCTGTAATAATACACATGTTTGGAGGGTCTTTTGTAAATATTTTACCTGTAAGCTGCCCCTCTGACAGTACTCTGTTATAATACACATGATTGTAGAGTATATTGTACATACCTGTAAGCTATCCTTCTGGCAGTACTCTGTTATAATACACATGTTTGGAGGGTCTATTGTAAATACCTGTAAGATCCTCTTCTTGCAGTACTCTGTTATAAAACACATTTTTGGAGGGTCTTTTTTACATACCTGTTAGCTGCCCTTCTGACAGTACTCTGTAATAATACACATGATTGGAGGGTCTTTTGTTAATATTTTACCTGTAAGCTGCCCCTCTGACAGTACTCTGTAATAATACACATGATTGTAGGGTCTATTGTAAATATTTTACCTGTAAGCTGCCCTTCTGACAGTACTCTGTTATTATACACGTTTGGAGGGTCTATTGTACATACCTGTTAGCTACTCTTCTGACAGTACTTTGTTATAATACACATGTTTGGAGGGTCTATTTTACATACCTGTAAGCTGCCCTTCTGACAGTACTCTGTAATAATACACATGTTGGGAGGGTCTTTTGTAAATATTTTACCTGTAAGTTGCCCTTCTGACAGTACTCTGTAATAATACACATGTTTGGAGGGTCTTTTGTAAATATTTTACCTGTAAGTTGCCCTTCTGACAGTACTCTGTAATAATACACATGTTTGGAGGGTCTATTGTAAATATTTTACCTGTAAGCTACCCTTCTGACAGTACTCTGTTATAATACACATGATTGTAAGGTCTTTTGTAAATATTTTATTTGTAAGCTACCCGTCAGACAATACTCTGTTATAATACACATGTTTGGAGGGTCTATTGTACATACCTGTAAGCTCCCCTTCTGACAGTACTCTGTTATAATACACATGTTTGGAGGGTCGATGCAGGCACCGAGAAAACGTACAATATGGTCATTCTGAAGATCTTTTATCTGTTATATAAAGCAAAAAAAAAATGTACAAATACTTCCATGCTCACAACACGCGTTCCTGGCATAACATTTTAGAAGATGGTGAAGGTAAATCTAGAAAAGCGCATCGGACAAATGGAAGTATATAAAGTGCTGTTTTCATTTTTGTAAGCATGTCAATCTAGACAGAAAGTAACAAAAGCCAACAAAATAAATGGTCTAATGCATAAACCCAAAACAGGACTATATAGAACAGCCAAACTAGTCTTTACAGTTTCATTATTTGTAAGAACCTAGACTTGTTTATTTCTAGATATCACACATTCAAAATGGCTTGATCAGGTTGCTACTCGAATCGATATTTTTGTGAACAGTGTACTCTGTATATGCATATTTGCAATTAAACTATTTGATTACAATCAGGATTTTAAAATATTTTGACCCTCGATTAATTGTTTTCACCATTATACGTTTTCAGCTTCTAAAAATAGTTAAAATACTGCCAAACTATAACAGAAAAATAATTATTCTGTAATATCTCGTTATAACGTTAACAATTACAACAACAATATTTTATGTTAAAACTCCCAGCATTTGGGACAAATTTCTATATTTAATACAGATACAATCTAAACATATGTGGCATGAACTAAATAATCCTCCTCTTTAGCTTATGTAGATTTGTCATAAAAAAAATAGAAGATGTGATATGATTGCCAATGAGACAACCCTACAACAGATACCCCGTCACCCTTCTAAACTCAAAACTTTTAATAATTGTCTGGTTAATTTTGTGCACGATAATGTTAAAGCTAAGGTATTTCTAAATTTAATATTTTCAATGAAAACATTACTATAGCACTCACCTTTTTAATTTCTAAAAGCAATGGCTTGTTTATTGTGATATTTGATTTATCTATACTTTTAATAGCTACTATGGCACCCTGAAAATGACAAATGACAAATAAGAAATTAATACTATATCAGAAGTATAAACGTATAAATGTTGGACTTTTAAATTCTTTTGACTACGAGCATCACTGAAGAGACATTAATTGCCGAAGTGTGAGTTTAGTGGCGTATAATTGGTATTGTTAACGTTTATTGTCACTTGACCTTAAGCAAACAACAAACAATTAATCTATCTAAGCGTTATAAAGGCGTTCAGATTAATTTTGTTAGACATGCGTCGTCTGTGAAAAAATGTCAATATAGAGTGTGCGTGAAGACGAGCTTACAGCTGGGTTCAATATACACAGTCTTACAAAAGTTGATTTTTTTTCTATTACAATAAATTCCAATCAGGAGCGTGTTATACTAAGACTTTAAAATAATGAGATGTTTATGAGACAATTACCAACCAAAGTCCAACTCACGTGGATGTAAAATGTAAGCAACTATAGATTAGCGTACGGCTTTCAATAATGAGCTTAATAATAACTGAATAGTAAGCTATAAAAGAATCTGATATAAAATCATGTCTGTTTCTCTGCTTCTACTTTACTTCTATATATATATATATATAAATGTGTTTTATTAAAATATACTTTTTCACTTTTTTGGTCTTTTGGAAAATGTTGTTAGTGCTGTATTTAGACCCCTCTAACAAGAAATTTGTTTCGCATGCACACGTATAAAAATTGCGGTTTTTATCCAACGCAATCATAGGTTTGAACGTTGTTTTCAATTTAGACTTGTTTATATTTTTTCGTTTGGGCTTTTATTATATTTGCCTTCGGGTTTATATGATCCGTTCATCCTATTTTGACCCCTCAAAATTCAAGAGTCTATCCTAAATTGAGGTAAATTGTATGGCTTTCCAAATACTGTTTCGATTCCTAACATCACTGAAGAGACATTATTTGTCGAAATCAGGATATTTTGTACAAAAAGCTTGGCACCTTTTGTTTGCGGTATATCATCTTTTCCACAAGTTTATTGTTTTCCGTTTAGTATTAAATTTATAATAAAGATCCATTTATTACATCGGTGATCCGTTTATTTGGCAATCGCCAATGGCAGTCAGCAGGGTTTAAGAACATTTGTTGTTCGACCTGTTAGTCAAATGCGTTTTGTTAAAATATACTTTTTCACTTTTTTGGTCTTTTGGAGAATGTTGTTTGTGCTGTATTTAGACCCCTCTAACAAGAAATTTGTTTTGCATGCAAACGTACAAAAATTGAGGTTTTTATCCAACGCAATATATATATTTGTGGTGTTAAAACTAACATTAATTTTGCAATATCAAAGTAATATTAAAGTAAATTGAATTTGTAACATCTTCAGTAACACAACCATCCATCGCAGAGTAAAGGACAGGGATTGGAACAATATAATGATGAGCTGTGGTATAGGTACCAATTAGACAACTATCAATTTAAAGCATTGAAATTTCACAAGTTTTTTGGTAAAAAATATACTGACTCTATAATACCCTGTCTTTGTAAACAGCTGTCGCTGGCCAACATCACTTAAGTGAACTGCAATTGTATCTCTTGAAACGGAACTTGCAATTGACAGTTTCTGAAATATAAAATATATACACTGGTTTAATGATTATATATAAAATGAACAAATTTCGGTAATTGAATATGACAAATGTCTTTAAGTAGATAAATTTAATAAGTGACCCTTCTAATAAATATTATTTGAATCTTGATGAAGATTCTTTTTCTTTGTATGTGTTAGTTTAAACTATTGATATGCCATCCAGGAAGTTAAAACATCGCGTCACAAAATAAAACATATGGAAGCTTTATAGTCAAAAGCGAAATAATAAGCTTTCGGAACTAAAATAGTTACTAGTGATAAAAACTTTTGAAAGATCATCGAGCATTATTTCATTCAATATTGGATTGGAATTCGCAGGTTTTGAATCTAATGCATTATGGGTAACATTTTTTAAAGCGATCAACAATACGTTTTGATTTGCTAACAAAATTATTCAATTGAAATCTAACCAATGATCACTAATGACTTGACGTTACATCCGCTTTAGGATACGCGAAAAGAGTAAAGAAAATAGTCCAATAAATTCTGAAACCGCATAATGCCCATCATGAGAATGTTTATAATGAGAATGTCAATCGATATAATGAGAATGTCAATCGATATAATGAGAATGTCAATCGATATAATGAGAATGTCAATCGATATTCAAGAAGCTATTTCGAAATATCAAGAATCAAGTTATGTTAAATCTAAATAAATATTTTATGAATAGACGAAATATACTAATGAGAAAAAAATAGAAAACATTCAATTGACACAAAGTACACATGAAATACATTGGCAAGATATGTGAAAGCCATACATAAAAATTTTGAAAGACGTTTTAATAAAACAAAAAACCACATCGATTGAAAACAAGAAAAGAGAGTTTCAAAAGAGGAATGTACCTGAGGATACCATGAAGACCATTTAAAGCGTTATATATAAAAATATGATAACCAAAGAAAAGTATTTTGCAATCTTAATGAAAAGATAATGATGCTGAAATAAAAGCGAATAAATAAGAATTAAACTTTAAATGATATTCTAGGTCACATGTCAACCAATCTTGCGCTTAAAATGTAACGTAGAACACTCATGTTTTGAAATGTACAACATACCAGGATAAAAAAGTACCATTAGACTTTTATTATTAAATAAGACATCAGCTCCTGTGGTTGAACATTCCTTAAGGTAATCAAATACGTTTTGTTGTTTGTAATTGTTTGTCATATCTCGATGTTCAACGGAATTTTTATACTGTTTGTGAAAGGAAATTTGTTTTGTTTTATGACTGACACTTAAATACAGAAAAACAAACGAAAGACACCAATAACTGAACATACAGCGGTTACAAGAGGCCATACAAAGTCTAGTTCTAGTCAACCCTTGTTTAGATTAGTTGTAAATGAGATCAAAAATAAGCTTCATCATCACTCCCATTTAGATATGGAGTGATAGTTTACTGAAAAATATTTGACATCAACATAAAACGAATTTACGGCAAACACACAATGCAAATCATTGTGTATAGTGCATAACATCACCATATTTGGTTCATCTTAAAGTCAAATACATAAACTATTGCAGGTATAATATTTTATTAAAACAGTAACAGTGAAAGAAATGAGAATAAATAAATAATGCCTAAATGAATATATATATATATATATATATATATATATATATATGCATAAAATTAAACAGATGTGCAGATCTAAGTTACATAAAGATAATGTTTATAATTGAAAAATGACTTAAGCGTGGACAGAAAATAAAATATAGCATCAATAAATAGATTTGAAAAATTTGTATAACATGATAATGTTTGAATATAATGCTACACATTTGAATATTTTCTTACAGTTATAACATTTATTTGCAAATATTACTTCTATAATTTTACCGGATCGGGTATAATCTATAAAGAACGTATAATTTATCAATGGTTTAGTTAACACTAACCAAGAAGTCAAGTGTGCTCAATTATACTATCAAAAACTATTTCTGCTGTATAACTACCAGTTTATAAAAATTCAAAAACAAATAAATGTAAACTTTATTTCAAGTAGCAAACACAAGATCTTAAAAATGTTGTGTAGGATGCCAAATTTGTTCGCGTTTCCAAATAACTACCTATATTTGTTACTAAGCTGTTTCAACAATGACGGTTTTGCAAAAATAAGAAACAAGAATTTAGTACCCACAGTGTTTAAATATCTAAAGGTAAATAGCAAGTAAACTTTTCTTAAATGAACAATTTACAATTTACAATTACATTGGATAAATAAATATGTATAATATAAATTATTGAGTAAGAGAGAAGATATGTGGTATTAAACATGAGTAACCAAACCTTAACTGAAACGTAATATAAACGTTTCTTGTTTTCTTTTTGCATGTTATATCTCATTTATGTTGTTTTAACTCGTCATATACTATTTTTCATTAAACAAAATTGAATTTTGAAGAAAACATATGGCGTTACTGGAAGGTTAAATGTTTCCAAACAAGACATTATCTCTGTAAGAGCGAATGGAATCACACATTTTAGCCACTTTGTGACTTTTGTTGAGAAGCGAAATAGTTTAAATAATTCCTGATCAAAGCACTTCTCGCAATAGTTTAAATACTTAGTGAGTTGTATTGTAATTATAATGGTAAATATTATAAGTATTCGTAAATAACTATTATCTCTGTTTATCTAGTTTTTATTCTAAATAGCAAATCAATTTCAGTTTGATAAACAAGACAAAAAGACTTTGATTTCCAACCTGAATGTTGTCATATTAAATGTAAGAGTTGTTCATCTTTCCATAAAAAATGGGAAGAGATATGTACAGAATATATTTCAAAAACACCAATTTAAATTATATGAAATTACATAAAAATACACTTAAAACAATAACAAAATATAACAGAAAAATAATTACTGACCAGTATATATATGATATGATAAAACATTAAATACCCGCCTTGAAAGGTATAATACTGAAAATATTGTTTAAATTAAAACAGATAAAATTTGATTTACATGAGCAGTTTATTTAATGTATTTCATGGCAGTTATATGTGACATACGAATTTTTACCACAGATGAATTAAATTCAAAACAGTGATTCAGATATCATTATAGCTAAGTTACCTTATAGCATATGCTGTAAACTAACCAACCTTGAGGCCAATTTATATTTTGCATCTTTCGCGATTAGAAACATTACACGAATATAAATCGTATCGAAAATGTTAAACTTAGATCTTCTCTTATATGAATACTCGAAAAATTGTCTTATATGATTACCCGAAAACCTAAGAAAATGGCGAAAACATAACGCCGGGAAATCAATAGTAAAATTTTTGCAAAATCAAAATCACGGCGATAAAGGCAGTGGCAAAAAATGGCAATTTCTCAAAATTGTAAGTAATATCAATTACATTATTTATTCAATTTCAACCAATTGAAATAAAGCTTTGTATGTTTTTAGCTGTGCAATGATTTTCAACGTTTTAAAAAACCAAGAAACGTATGCTCATATAAAAGCATAATAAAACATAAAAAAAAAATGTTTTATAATATATTGTTGAGTAACTGACATAAATACATATTTAACTATAATATGCAACCTGATTTTTCTTTGATTGGTAAATGGATGGAAAATCACTCCATCTTAAGTACATAACTTATTTAACTAATTTTTGAATGTACATCTAGTGTATTACATTTTTAACTATGAAATATTTATGCTTTAGATTTCCAAACTTTACCGAAACTAACAAAATGTATGTATATATATGATTACACCAGCATTAAGCTACTAATACATTGTATCAAAATCTAATACCTGTACCGTGAAGTTTAAAATTGATTCAAAAATGTTTTTTTTCTTCAAATAAACTGTTGATGAACATAAAAAGATAATGACTACAAAATAAAAGAAAAATAACATTTAAAAGTATCTAAACATAGAAACATTGATTGTATACAGTAATAGGTACTTAAGGATGTTCGATACTCTGTTTCAAAATAACAAGGTTTTAAAAAGACTTACAAATTGATAGTATAAAAAGCGGAACTAAAAAAGGAGAAAAAAATGAAGGGTCCATGTCCTTGTTTTCTAGATATAAGTCATTGAAAATTGGCGGGAAATGATTCTTTCTAGATTTTTCATACATTTAGCATGTCACCTTTTTTCGTGTCAAAAAAATATGAAAAAATCTGGAAGCTATAACATTTTAAAACTATATTTAATAAAATTATCAAAAAAAGTAGAGGTTAGCGAGCAAATTTTTTTATTGGCACTACATGGATAAAACCCGAGGTTTGAATATCTGACAAAAATTCAGAAACAACAGGAGCGAACATCGCGAACATCAATTGGGATGTTAATGAGTCTATTTCAGGTAAAAGTAAAAACAATGCTCTGATTTGAAAACATCAATTGAATATAAGGTTCATTGTTGAGTCTCAAAAAGTTATAAACCTATTTTCCTGAGAGATTTTTTCTGTGAATAAAGTGTCAGAGAAGAATTTCTTGAACACAAACTTACAAGTTAAAGGAACTAATGAAAATATGAACATTATATATAAGGGAAAACCAAAAAAAAAATAAAATGCTATTCTGTTCCTTATTGAAACTTTTTCCAATGTGAACATTGTCGTCGAAGCTGTTTCAAGTAAACTTAACATTATACAATGCAACACATATCAATGTATTGAACAGGAGTAATACAACGAGTGTCACGTGTAGATCATATAACCCTTCCGAAGATCAAAATGCTATAACAAAAGCTTTGAATATTCAAACAAAAACACTAACTGCACTTGGAATGTTTACATGGATTGTCTCTTTATGAAACATTAATTATTTATGATATTTTATAGTATATGCAATCCTGGTCCTTAAACAATTGATTTACCCAACAAATTCGGTGATTTGTTTTATCGTTTGTGAGGGATGAAGAAAACGAACCAATGCCCTAAATAACAGTGAAAATTCACAGTGAAAGTACATTGTACATAGTAGGAATTAAAA